TTTTTATTATCTTGTAAATTATGAAATTTGGGTCAAGAAATAAACTCATGTATACAGGCTCTATATTTAAATATGTGAATCAGATTGTTTGTACATAAATTTGGGTCAAAAAAATTGATTGATAGAAGAGAATTCTAAATGTCATCCATCATCTAGGGGAAATGCCCAAAACCAGTTTTGGTGGCATAGATACCTTAAAATTTACATGGAAGTTTCTACCATGTCTTTGGGAGAATAATCTATCTTATTTATATGTACTACTTGTATTGTTTCTTGCGGCCTCTTTTTTCCAAGCACTAACGCTTCATTTCTAAGTTGCTGCCCAATCTAATCCATCTACGTCTTTCGCAAAGTCAAGAAGACACCAGTCCAACAATTTTGGTATTATCCGCTTCTTTGATGGTGAAAAGCCTACTGCTGCTTGCAGGTATTCCTTCTGTGCAGCTTCCAACTCCCTCTCAACTTGTGTAGCTGTGTGTATACTCTTACCTTCATTCATAAAATTCCATTAGCTAGCAGAAGAACACTCATTGATGGATCAACAAAATGAGAACGAATTGTGATTGTTTAGAAGGGTAAAAATGGCTTACAGATTGGGAGGATCAACTTCCACATGGAAGTGCAAATCAGACCAATGGGCCAGACCACTTCAAACCAAAAAGACCGTGTATCATTGCCTTTGCCAGATTTTGGACAAGTTCATGGACATTAAGACAAGAAGAATGTACAAGCTAGATTCCTGATTAAAAAGGAACATGAAGAAATCAGATCCTACATGTAAAAAATGATACATCTGCCTTCCTTGAGGCCTTGTAGCCTTCTCAAATGTATCCTGACTATCAGCTGAGATCTTAGAAACGGTATTTGTTTGCGCCCCATTATCCCCCTCAACTGTTAAGAACATCAGAAACCATGATTTTAGTAGTAATATAAAAATGGAAACCAGAAAAGCAACTTAGCAGTTAGGGGTCACTTTCATCTTTTTTGATATTAGTTGCTTGCTACAACATTGACAAGGGGAAAACAAAATGCATATACAAGACCAAAAGAGATCCATTTAGAAGGAATTTATTACAATATACACGATATAATGAAAGCATTAACAACCCACAATAGCGACGTATAATTTACAATACCACAGTTGGAAGGCTTCATTCATTGTTGATTTGCAGAATTCCAGTTTTCATTTTCAAACCTCTCTCCGCTCCTTATCATCTTTCATGAAAAAGACAATGTTCCAAAATTATCAAAGATAGTGAAAATGATCACCAAATAAGAAATATAATCCCAAAATATGAAATAAATCTAAAAGCAAGCCTTCTCAAGTAATAGGTTCCAGATTACTTCGTAAACATACCAAAAGATTGAAAGACATGATTCGCAACAAAAATGGCCATGCTCAAAACTGGATTTCTACATGATTATCAAATGTGCAATCTAAGCACTCCTAAGAACTAATCTACAAAATTGATCATTAGAATCATAACTCACATAAACCATATTCCTTATACTATCAAAGTAGGACAATATCTATCATTAATACAAACTGCACAAAATAACAAAATACACAAAATCGAATAAATTTATCATTCACCTTTTGAAGGAAATTTAAACCTTTACTCAAGTTGTTTTCACTTGCACGTGGTGATATATGAAGGACGACTGACATCTTCTTTCACTGTTCTTTCCTAAACTGTTTACAAATATGATAAATGAGAGTTAGGTGCTGTCCTCACGCAATGCCTTCGACAGATCCTTCATTGTCAAAATAAGCTCATATCCTGAAAAAAAAAAAAAAAAAAACGGAACCAAAAGTTCGGTAATTTTGTATATAGGCCAAGAAGCAATGCGGAGCACAAGAAACCACCTTTGGCTGCTTTTTATCTTAAACCACTGCAGACTGTCTTGAGTTGCAATGCCTGCATTACGGAGACAAACATTAAGATCACTTTTGACATGTACGCCTAACGGATGGGATCATAAGCTCAAACTGTAAGGAATAACTAAAATTGGCACCCCAAAAAAGCCCTAATTTAACCGATCTCCTTGAGCAACGAAAGACAATTTCTTAGATTGTCTGAACCCCTTCAGTAAAACTTTACCACTGATAGTTTGTACCCGATAAATTTACATTAAAAGTAAACCTCATGTAGATAATGTAAACATTGAGAAAGAACATGTGAGAAAGAACCCAATTCATACTGGATACATTCCGTAGCAACATATGCGATAAATTTCTGCGTAGCCACTGCAACCAGCCTGGTTCTAACAAGAAAAAAACAAAAAGACACAAATAATAAATCTTTCAATACATACAATCTTTGATTCCTTACTGCAATCTTCACTTTACCACCACAAAAAAAAAGCTCAAGGATTTATTTTTGAATTTTGCTTCCAAGAAAACAAATCAAATAATAACAAATCAATGTACGCAATTCAGTTACAAAATAACAATTCATGGAAACACTAATTTAGTTATAGTTAAACTAACAACACGTTGCACCAGAAAACAAAAGGGATGCGATGGGTAGGAATGCCTACAATCGAACATAGGGAGAAAGGATGAACACTATATCAAAATCGAACATGCGATGGGTAGTTAGTATTCAATATGTTGAGCATTGAAAGTGTTCTTTTGTAAAAATAATTGGAAGTTTAATAATCATCTGTGTTTGGCATTACTTGAATACTCTCCCTCCGAGGATAGTTGCTTGATCAAAATCGTTCACTGACAAAGGAAAGCTAAGAATTTCTTTACTAATCAGTTCCTAATAATCTAAAGTCTAAACCAACGTTCTAGCAGATTTTCAAATGGGGCGAACACAAAAAGATTTAGAGGACTAGTTTTTGTTTCTATTATTATTTTGTTAATTTTGTTTTTGTTTTAAAAAGAAAATCGAGTTATACCTTAATAACCTATCGATTTGAACGTTCAATTGGTACTTAATGAGATTGAGGGATTGGTTTCTAGGTTACCACGGGTATTAACAAAAAAATTCGAAGGTCTAGGGGGTGAAATGGTTCAAAGATTTTTTTTTTAAAAAAAAAAGTTTGGGGGATTCTTCGAATCTTCAAAAAATATAAAAACTATTTTTATTCTAACATAATTTTTTTTTTTTGTTTGGTGAAAACTGTAAACTTTGCATTAACTTTAAAAATAGAGAGTTTAAGTACAAGCTTCCTACCAAATTGCCTTATTTACACCCTATTTACACTTACACACAGTATATCCACTATTGGAACAGTTTGTCAAAAATACATTGCTCTATTCTTGAGGTTTTCCTTCTGTAACACATTTGCACCCTGATCTTCACGTTTCTTTGAATTTTCTGGAACAGCATGTCTACAGTTCTGCTATGATTTCTGATATTCTAACATAATGTTATCATATTTTGTAATACATCTTAATATTTTGAATCAATTTAATGGGTAAAGCTAAGGTTCCGTTCAAAAGTTTGAGGTGTAATCCTGTTATTTGATTAATAGCCGTTAGATTAATTTAAGTTAATCACAACTATAAAATTTACATTAAATGAATAAACAAAATAAAAGCCTTTTTAAAGGCAACCGGTTATCAAAGTAAATGGAAATATAATTTAATTGAGTCTTTTGCTCCCTCTCTCTCTCTCTATACATGCGTTTTTCGTCTCTCTCTCTTTATTTATTTTCCTTGCTTTAGCTAAGTTGTTCCTCAACCTTCCTTCCTTTTTTATTTTTATTTTTTTCGTTCTGGACGTGCTATGGTGATGCATAAGATGGCGGACAAGAGTTGGAGAAAACACCAATGATATCAAATTCGGTAAATTATGAACAAGAATTAAAGATTATATATGAAATTTTCCTCAACAAGTGACTAGATTAATTTGACTAATTGGTTGTTGTAGGTCTAGTTATATATCTTTGTAAAATATACTCCCTCGGTCCCATAATTATTGTCCAGTTTGAGTTTTATTAGTACAATTTGAACTAAAAATGAAAACTCAAACAGGACAATAATTATGGGACGGAGAAAGTATTTGATTATGATGGTTTGGATACTGAAAACCTCGATGGTTCGATTTGGATCAAGCAACAAAATCTATAATGAGTTAATTGATAAAAAGAAGCTGCAAATTTGACACCGAAAATCCTGTAGTCATGTAAAGACATGCTTAAAATTCTTCCGAAGAATTTAACGGAATCGTCAAGGTAAATTTCAGAACCTAAAGAGAACAACATAAAATTACCCACGTTTACGTATTGTTTGTACTTGTTATCTTTGATCATTACTTCACTACTGACTACACAATAATTAATAATTCAACATGAAAAAAAAATAAAAAATAGTATACACTACCATGCCCTACATAAATCCAAGGAACCAAAATACAAACGCACAGTAATAATCTACGACTTTTACAACACCTCATGAAATATGAAACTTTGACCCATTTTTCAGAAACCAAAATCCAAATAACAAAATGTTAACACGGTCCTTGATGTATAAATTAAAGTCTATAACATTAATTCCTTTTTTTTTTACATATATATCCGGTATCCAACCACTATCGTTATACTCGTAAGTGTCGACAGACCGCTGACTAATCTAGACTTGAGCTGATTAATTCCTATTACTGTTCCATCTAAAGGCCAGTGATGTCAACAAAACTAAAAAAATCATAACTAAACTATAATAATATATTTTTAAACGTGGTACATTTGTGTGTACATTATTTCTTATCACCATTGTCTTCCACTTCATTAACTAAAGTATGATAATATATTTTAATCTTGTGTTCTTGAATATCTTGAACAATCCATACACTGTGTGGAGTACACAACTAGTATATATAAAGATATAGATTGGCCTTCAATTCGTAGTTTTGTTTCGAACTATAAATGCTGAATGAAATACAAAGGTGAGATCACAATACATCAAAATCAGAATCAATTTCATTAACCAAAAAACAAAAAAAAGAAAAAAAAAAAAAAGAGAGAGAAACTCAGCCCCAAAAGCTTGATCACCAGGAGATACCTTCCTCCGATATTTCAACATGATGGGGGTCGATTTTAATCCAAACAGAGAGCAACATCTGCTTAGAATTGTGATAGCTATCGTAAGAAGAACCTCTCTCAAAAGTGTGAAATTTTTTGGTGGCCAGAGAATAAAACAAGACATTGTTTTCTCGAAACTTTGGGAAGTAGATTTTGTTATCTGCTCCTCTCACATTAGTTCTTTCAATGAAAGACGAGGTGCGGCTTACAAATATCATTCTGCCCTTCAAATTATGTACCATCTCCCAAATCATCTTCTCCATATTTAGTTTACAGACACACAACTCTTTGCCTCGACCCGCCACGAAAACAGCCCATAAATCACCCTCACCTTCAAACATGTAGTACTGACAATCATTATAAGATACATGTCCCCACATGTGCTTGGGAGAACCTGTTCTACGAGGTTTGCTTCTCTTAGGATCATAAATCACAAGATTTCCTTCCGAACCAATGAAATAATACTTTCCCCTGTAGAAAACAGGATTACAACGCGACAATTCAAAGGAACCAGCATCTCGGAATACGAGACTAGTTGAAAACTCCGCCTTGCCTCGCTTCATGGTCTCAACAACAATTTTATCTGAAACATCCCTACGAATCCTAACAATTTCACAGTCTGGGGAGTTTGGCGGGCTCGAAAAAGTAATCAACTTAAACGAATTTAGTGGACCAATGTCAGGGAGGTCTATTCGGCGATTAGTGAAAGGATGATAAAAGAACATAATAGATCTTCCTCGCGCTATTAGCAACCAACCATAGTTGGCTACGTGAACGATACCTTTCGGCAATTTTTGGATATCCATCTTCTGGAACGAGGCATTGTACAATGGATGAAAAAACTTGTTGGATAGTAACAAGTACGGACAGGTTGTTAACTCGTCGTTAGGATTTGGTACGGGCGGAGGAATTGTTGAACGGACGATAGTCACCAATCTCCATGATTTACACACTGCAGAGAACGTAGCTGCATCCCCAACAAAGAGTCGACACAATATTGACCTAAGGATGTCAACTGGAGCATCTGACCATGATGATCTTTCATGACTTTGTCTTTCTTCTTCTTGAATTTGATCTCCGGTTACCTTAACCATCCTCTCACTTCCTATAGTGCTCATCTCAGCGTGCTCCACAATCAAACAAGTAACCCCTGGTATACAGCGGACCCCTGATATCTCCTTATATATAGAATATTATATTGGTCACTGCAACCGACCTGATTGTAGTCCTTCTGGGAAACGGTATTGCTGGATTTCCAAAAGCGCTGGATTCTGGCTTCCTTCCTAATCACTAATCAAAGCTCTCCAAATCAGGGCTTCGCCCTTTTATTTATTTATTACTTTTTTAATTGAAAAAGAAAAATTACACACTGGTTTAATCTGTTCGGCAAATTATCCAGTATACCCGGGGGCACCGTGCCCCCCCTCTTATTTTTTGCACGAGTAGTCCTTATTGTATTTTTCATCAATCTTTCTATGATTTGCAAGGATAGTCCCTGTCATTTTTTCTCTCTCTTTCAAAAAAAACATCTCCAATCTTTCAACGAGCATATCTCCCAATCCGTGAAGAATTTGTGAACGAATTATACATGAAAATTATAGTACTCGTTGAGATCTATTCAACAAGATCCATTTCGAATATTTTTTTGAGTTTAAAAATGATCAAATTTCTTTGGACAGAATTAAGTTGGATATCCAGTAAGTTGGATAACCAGTATACGCGAGTTGGATAATCAGTATGAACAAAGTGGATAACTAGTTCAAACAATTTGGATAACCATGTAAATCCATTGGATAACCAGCATTAGCGTATTGGATAATACAATACAAACCAATGATTGGATAACCAATACAAACGAGTTGGATAACCAACTTAGTTTATTATTTTTTAAAAAAATAATAAAAAAACCAGGTTGGATAAATAATACTAATTAGTTAGATAAACATTATTAACATAAATAATCAAGATGGATAACCAACTTATTTTACATTCATATTATTCTTTTCCTTGTATCTAATGATTCGTAAAGAATTATAACACGAATTATATATGAAATTTATAGTACTCGACGAGATCTATCCGATAAGATCCATGCTGAATATTTTTTTTGAACTTTAAATGCATTTAAACTTTACGGGCAGAAAATGAAGAAATGTATTTTTCGTTTTTCTTTGAGAAATGGTTATCTAATCCGTTTGGACTGATTATCCATTCTGTTCGTACTTGTTATCCAATCATATGTTTGACATTCGCTCTTCAAAAAAAAAAAAAGATGGATATCCACCTCTATTCTATTCTGCCCGTCAGAATTAAGTCATTTTTAAGCCCGAAAAAATGTTCACTGTGGATTTCGTTGGATAGATCTCGACGAGTACAATCAATTTCATATATAATTCGTTCACAAATTCTTCACGGATTGGGAGATATGCTCGTTGAAAGATTAGAGTTGGATATGCATGCAAACCAAATGGATGGATATCCAGTACAAATAAGTTGGATAACCAATATGAACACAGTGGATAACCAGTTTAAAAAGATGGATAACCAACTTATTTTACATTCATATTATTCTTTTCCTTGTATCTTTTGATCCGTAAAGAATTATAACACGAATTATATATGAAATTTATAGTACTCGATGAGATCTATCCGATAAGATCCATGTTGAATATTTTTTTTGAACTTTAAATGTATTTAAATTTTATGGGCAGAAAATGAAGAAATGTGTTTTTCATTTTTCTTTGAAAAATGGTTATCCAATCGGTTTGGACTGATTATCCATTATGTTCGTACTTGTTATCCAATCATATGTTTGACATTCACTCTTCAAAAAAAAAAGATGTATATCCACCTCTATTCTATTCTGCCCGTCAGAATTAAGTCATTTTTAAGTCCGAAAAAATGTTCACTATGAATTTCATTGGGTAGATCTCGACGAGTACTATAAATTTCATATATAATTTGTTCACAAATTCTTCACGGATTGGGAGATATGCTCATTGAAAGATTAGAGTTGGATATGCATACAAACCAAATGAATGGATATCCAATACAAATAAGTTGGATAATCAACATGAACACAGTGGATAACCAGTTTGAGAAGATGGATAACCAACTCATTTTACATTCATATTGTTGTGTTCCTTGTATCTTTTGATCCGTAAAAATTATAACACGAATTATAAATGAAATTTATAGTGCTCGACGAGATCTATCCGATAAGATCCATGTTGAATATTTTTTTGAACTTTAAATGCATTTAAACTTTACGGGCAGAAAATGAAGAAATGTGTTTTTCGTTTTTCTTTGAAAAATGGTTATCCGTTGTGTTCATGCTGATTATCCAACCGGTTTGGAGTGATTATCCATTCGGTTCGTACTTGTTATCCAATCATATGTTTGACATTCACTCTTCAAAAAAAAAAAGAAAGAAAATGGATAACCACCTCTATTATGCCCGTCAGAATTAAGTCATTTTTTAAGCCTGAAAAAATGTTCAATGTGGATTTCGTTGGATAGATCTCGACGAGTACTATAAATTTCATGTATAATTCGTTCACAAATTCTTCACGGATTGGGAGATATGGTCGTTGAAATATTAGAGTTGGATATGCATACAAACCAAATAGATGGATATCCAGTACAAACAAGTTGGATAATCAGAATGAACACAGTTGATAACCAGTACAAATAATTTGGATAAGCATGTAAGTCCATTGGATAACCAGTATTAGTGCATTGGATAATCAATATGAACACATTGGATATCCAGTTTAAGAAGATGGATAACCAACTTATTTTAAATTAAGAAGTTGGATAACCAAATAGATAAGCAGTAGAAACAAAATGGATAACCAGTTTAAACTGATTGGATAATCAGCATGAACTTGATGGATAACCAATTTAGAACAAGTTGGTGATCCATCTTGTAAAACTGGATATCCACCCCTATTCTGTCCATTAGAATTAAGTGATTTTTAAGCCCGAAAAAATATTCACTATGGATTTTGTTGGATAGATCTCGACAAGTACTATAAATTTCATATATAATTCGTTCACAAATTATTCACGGATTGAGAGATATGGTCGTTTAAAGATTAGGGATATTTTTTTTTGGAAGAGAGAGAAAAAAACTCACAGGGACTAAATGTGTAAAATATAGAAAGATTGAGAAAAAAGTACAATAAGGACTAAAAATGTAAAAAATAGGAGGGGGCACGGTGCCCCCGGGTATACTGGATACAGCCTCATTTGTTCTTCTCCTTGTATTGTAATAAATAAACAAATTTCCTTAAAATATTAAGGTTACTGGATTTTTGGGTTTTTTTTTATAATTATTATAAATTGAGTATTATATAATCTCGTTTCCGACTTTGTTTCGGCTTTGGACATGTTGCTTAATCCGAGTCCTTTCCAAAACACAAGAATCATCCCTCCTATTTAAGCATCGGATGAGGCAATATGATTTTATATGCCTTTATAATTACTCATATCTGTAAAATAAGATGGGAAAACCAAACTGTCGAAGGTCGAAACAACCATCAAAATCCAAACCGAAACCGAAACCAAAACCGGTAGACGTAGATGCATCAGAGGAAAAGGAGTTTTCTATTGCAAGAATTGCCCCTGATGTGAATCAACCATGGCCATGTCTTTTGATTTCTCACCTAAAGAAGAAAAAACCTATCCTTACATTTCACAACACATCCAGCAAACAATACCAATCGAAGTTGGCTCCAGAATTGACGACTAAAACCGCGCACAAGTGTCATGGAGAGTGGATGCTTATTCAGGACGACACCAACTTAACGGAATATTGCATCCTGAATCCCCTGACAATGGAGACACTGCAACTCCCACGGCTGGAGGAAGATTTCAAGTTGCCAAGTTACGGAGGTTAACCTCGCCAAACCCGACCACTGATGCTGATTGTCGAGTTGTCGTAATGGATGGGGCAGCTTATGTTAATATGTTGTGGCCGATTGGTGCGAAGGAGTTCATCACGCAGGAGCTGGAGGATTTGAAGATGATGGAAGACAATAGGCCATTTACCGCGTTAAGATTCCAAGGCAAAGTGTATTACATCACTTATCCAAACCTTTCACTGTATTGTTCAGAACAGGAAACCACGTCCCCTGGTAGTAGTAAGAAAGTTGAGGTTAGGGAGATCATGAACGATGAAACAATGGACACATTTCTTTTTAATGTACGTCCTTGTTTTCTGATTGAATGCCGTGGACAGCTCTGGTACCTGGATCAAATTGAACATGATATCGGGGAGATAATGTTTCAAATACTTCGAGCAAATTTGGAGGAAAAGGCGTGGGAAGAGGTGAACGACATCGGTGATGATTATGCAATATTTGTTGATGATTTTGGAGCTTTTGCTGCTTCGGTTGTTGGATCCGGGCTTAAAGGGAACTGCGTCTACTATACATATGATGACGGTTCATTGAACGTTTATTCCCTGGAAGAAGGTGATGAGAGTTTTGAACTCTTCGATCCGTTGCCTTTCCACACATCAACATATGAGCTGCGCTGGCTTCTCATTTCCAACACCACCAACTCCAACTAATTAATTATTGGATGCTTACAACATTTTTTTTTTCTCTCGGTTACCCCTTAGCCGTTTGTGTGCCAAATGTCTCTCTCTTTATTACTTGGTAGAATGATTAGTTCAAATCAACATTACATTGTCTTAGACTGGTGCATGCATTGCAAATGAGTTGATACTACTTTATACTTTACCTCTTAGTTTAAAATAACATAAAGTGTGCTGGTCATTAATAAAATAAAACGTTATATGTATGTTGCGCTTTATATATTAAGCATTTGTTAACAGATATCTTGGCACACTAGAGTGTTTGTAAAGGCTGTAATGATAACACAACCCGCACGATAATAGCAATCGAGAAGTGATTCCAAGTTCCAAACGCATTATTATCAGCAAAAGAGAAATGGCATGTTTTACTCTTTTTCTACACTCATAAATCCTTGATTATCGCCCTTGTGACCATTTCTGGAAGCTGGATTTCTCATAAAACAAACTTCTTCGAGTGAACATCAAACTGTTCAGACGATGACAATTGAGGTTCCTACATCATATCATAGTAACTAAAGCAAATTAGACACGTACAAATTATTCACCTAAGGTCTTTTAATGCGGAAGCGCATGTATCACAATACCTGCACTGAATCTGCTTCAATTCTCCCATTCGACAGGGCTTTCTGCGCGTCGTGAATATAATTTCGCATGGTTGAAATTAAGTAACCATACGTCAATCTCGCTTCATTGCGCTCTACTATTTGGATAAAGCTGTGAGTCAGGGCACCAGTTGCTGATCCTGTGAACATCTGATCCAAACCAATAAAAATGGTTTAAGGGAAGCCTGGGAGTTATGGTCCAACAAAAATGATGCTAATGAGGATGTTGATTTTGATTGTTAGAATCAATGCTCAAACAAAACAAAACAAAACAAACAGATCAATTTGTTCCAGAGTACTACTAACTGGTGCTTCTCCAGAATTCTGATTATCATCACAGGCACTGATAGAAGCCCCCACTTGTACCCTTATATGGTGCATATCTCCCGTTAGGCATCCGATGATCTTCCCACCGATAATATCCTTCCCTGATGAACAGCAATTCCTTGCAACTAATGCATTCTATTTTCAGAACAGAACAAGTAAAAACAATACACATAAACGTATATATTTTTACCCGTTCATTCTACACAGAAATGGTAGATCTAAGAAACTTCCTCTAAAGCAAGTGTCGATCCAGAATCCAGGGCACACTCCCTGTCTCAGTTGAGTAATCCAGTTGAGTATAGGCAATAACTATCTCAGTTGAGTATAGGCTCGCCCCTGAACACCCTTTGCCAGCAGCTTATGAAGATTTCTGGGCTGCCCTTCAATGGGTTGCCTCACATTCTGTTAAGGACTCTGAAACCGAAGGCGAAAAAGAGCCGTGGCTGATTGATTACGGTGATTTTGGTAAAGTTTAGTTAGGGGGTTGTAGAGCTTGGGGGAATATAGTTCATAACATGGCTATGAAAGCAGGGGAGGAGGGATTAATTGGTGGGGTGAACATCTTGGGTGCATTTTTATCTTGTCCTGGTTTTTGTGATTCGAAAAAAATATGGACTACATAGAGTGTGGATTTTTGTTTATCCTTCAGCTCCATTCGGGATTAATAGTCCACTGATCAACCCTTTTGCTGATGGTGCACCTAATTTAGCTAAGATTGGGTGTCAAAAGTTGTTTGTTTGTTGTGCTGAGAAAGATGTTCTGAGAGAAATCAATCTGCGTTATGTTGAAGCGTTGAAGGAAACGATGGAATGGCGAGTTGGAGCTGGTTGATGTTGAAGGTGAAGATCAATGCTTTGAAGCATTTGATGCCAGTACTGAGAAAGCAGAGAGTTTGATCAGCAAGATCGGTTCTTTCATCTAGGGCTGATTAATCTTGCTATACTCCTTTCCATTAAGCAAATCAATCAGAATTTTTAGAGTTCTTTGGCCGAAGTTTGAAAAGGGTATCTACTCCCTCCATCAACAAACAGGACAATCGTTTCCGGACGGTGATATGTTATTACCATTGATTTGCGTGACATCTTCCACATAGTTCATTGTATTTCGCAGAACTTCCATATAAGTCCATATTAGTTCTGCGTTCCATCACCATTCACTTAATCTTTTTGCAAGACTTCCAAATTCACGTTGGAACTTGGAAGATGTCAAGGAAAAGCATGTATAGGTTCCATGCTTTTAGTCTCCCTGCATCATCATTGCTCTCTCCGTTTCTTTTGTTAAGGTGCAAAGGTTTTTACAAACATTTTGTGTTGAGAACCTTGGATGTTGCAAAAGAATAATGTGTCATAATTCAGTTTTATGTTCTTGTTGTTTCATTGTAAATTGGGAGAACCTTCATTTTTATCTTCCAAATTCACGTTTGATGTTTCCTTTCAACACACTGTCTGATAATCAACTCAAAAATCATTAGTGTGGTTTTGACTTACATGGAAAAGCTAGTACATCTGAATATACGCCATGTATTTCATTAAAATTTCTGTTGATAAAACACAACATAGGTGACTTGCTTTTTAGTATGCAATGCTTCACCCATTACCCAACCATTTTCAAACATTACCATCCCCCAGTCAGTTTCAAATAAAGACTAAAAACACTAGCAATAACATAAAACTTCTGAATATTAATGCCTTAACATTAACTCGCTCGTCGTCGTTCTTCAGTTCTTCTGAATCAGCCATGGCTCTTTTTGTCCATCAGTTTCAGAATCTTGTGATTGATTTATGGGGATTGATTTACTCATCCTTAACTTTGTCGCTGTGAGAACAATATTATTTATTCATCCACAATATTCTCATTATTCATCGATAACCATATCATTATTCATCCAAATAAACATCGTTATCCATTAAAATGTTCTAAATTTGACGCTTAGTTCTCTGAATTCCATTGCTAATTAGTTGAAAATTTTTTTCTCTAATTGATTCTCCATATTCATAAGTCTCGATTATGAACCATATTCAATTTTATCAAAATAAAATCCATCGTTGTAAAAAAAATTTCTCATAAAATAAAATAATATAAAAATGAACATGATAAGCAAAAAACGGTTTGAAACTAAATGTGTGCGGAAAAGAATTCCCTTGACTAATTTATCAAAATATGCTCGTAGAATGTGATTGATTTATGGGGTAGTATTCACTCTTTTTTGGCAAGTTTGTATCACACACACCTCCTAGAAACACGGTTGCAATGTGTTCCTAGGAGCAGCATATTATTTGCCATAATAAAGGTGCCCACAAAGCTTCCTATAGCTGCGAGTGCGGTGACAATTGATGGTAAAATGGGCAGGGGCAAGAAACGGTAGTGTGTATTATGACTTATAGTATTTGTATTTGTGTTATGTCTTGCACTAATTTAATATTTTAGCTTGTAGTACTTTGGTTATATTATAGAATAATAAAATCTATTTAATGCTGTTGTTATCTTATTTCAATTTAAAAAACACAACATTTCCTAGTTTAGCACCATTCTAATTTATTATGTCAAGTATTATCAACAATTATAATCTCAAAAATTATATAAACATATGCATACTTTTCAAATATTATTTCGCCTTTTATCAAGTTCAATGTCAACAAATAATAAACTATAATAATTTTATGAAAATTTACTTATTTTTCCTTATTTATGAGTTTAGATCATTTATTTTTTCTGGAAATTTATATATTAATGTGCTTTTGCGCTTACACTTTTTTTTTTTTTTCATGTAGCCTAAACATATTAGATTTTTAAACATTTACTCTCCTTTTTAATTTAATTTTTAAATTTTTATATCAAATTCTTTCAACATTTATAATTGCAAATTGATTAATTTATACACTAAAATGTGTATAACATATTATAATACATAGCAATAAAATATTTCCACTATTGAGTAAATTCAACGTCACAAAATAATTAACTAAATTTTGATTATTATTTTTCTCACAAATTTAATCATTCATTTTTTTTAAAAAAAAATTAATATAAAATACTGAAAACCTCATAAGATAATTGAGGTATTCATTAAAACTATATGTCCTGCCTGCGGTTTACAGTAGTTCCGCATAATCGATTCCGGTATTTTTAATTATTTCAAATTTAATATAATTTAACGTAATTAATACTTTTACTTAATTAATGAATCAACGAAAATCTCAACTGTTGTTTGCGGTTTTGCAAACCCTCGTTTCTCCTTCACGGTAATTTATATGGTAAACCATGTTTACACTAGATGGTAGACTTGTTTTAGGAATTGTATTATACGCTTTAAAAATAAAATTAAATTTCAATTAACTTTTTTAATAATAACCACGCGGATCAATATAATTGATATTCTTTTTTCCTTATTGTTCTCTTTATCTTGTAACCAATCGTATCTAAAAAATCAAAACTGAAAATCTAGTATTTTATCAACACTATTTGGCGGTTCACTTAACTTTTTATCTATAAAATAAAGCAGAAATTGAAAATTAGATGCAAACTATCTTTCATTTATCTTAAAAAAATATTAAGAATTGCAAGACTGAGTTTTGATTTGAATTAAATTCTTTTGATCTCGTTTATGATAAACGATGATACCTTAAAAGTCTATCAAGGAGGTGGCAGTGACAAGCACTCAAATAATAACGGTAACAATTGATTCATCCAAGATTGCAGTTTTCACAGCTGAAACCAACGACGATGATCTGGCACAGCTTCAATTGATACGCATTGAAGATGATGTATTGTCCCCAACAACTTCAATCAACATCCATTCACGAAGATGAACTTCCTCCACATGATTCTGGTAATGTTGAGTTTACATTTAAAAAGTTAGAAAACAATAGAGTTTTCGATGAACATGTATTTATATGTATGAATAATTTTCAATAAAACCATGAACACGTTTGTCTATATTAATCATTCATGAACTTTTCTTTAAATGAGTTTGAACATTTTATCATATTAAACACTCAAGTCTCTGTTTCGTGTTCTTATTTTATTGCATGTATGAATATGATACAAATTTATCATGAATATGAAATTGGATTCTTATCTGTATTGAGTGTGAATTACAGGATTTAAGGCAGGAAGTGCCCTATATATATACATGGTGTTATAAACAAAGGGAAAATGGATCTTTTCATCCTAAAGTTTAGGCCACACTATCCAAAACATCTCAAAGTTTAAGAACATGCCATTTACATCCCAAACTTTTTAAAAACATGTTACATTAGGATATTCGTTAAATTTTTAACTCCAGTTAATTAATTAGCGTTGGTACTTTATTCTATTTCTCTGCCCCCAATCTTTTAATCATTTAACACGTTCCACTAACTCCCACCTTATAAGAAAATAGCTAAATCTAATTTGGTTTTCACATCATCCATTCTTCCCTTGCTTAGAAAAAGAAAAAAAAAATCCAAGATTCACCTTCTAGATTGATAACAATAATGAGATGTTTTGTGTGTGTCATAATTACAAAGTAAGCCCTATTTTATTTATTTTTTTAAATATGTAGCATCATTATAAAAATTGGTGTTGTAATTGATGCAGGAGCATGCAACTTTTTTGCTTGACATGGACCAAATTTACCAAACGCAAGCATGAAACTTTTTTGACTAAAAAAAAAATGGGAAAAAAGAAACTGAATGAAATATCGCCGTTAATAATTTGAAAAAAATTAACAAATGTCCTAATATTACATATTTTTGAAAAGTTTGGGATGAAAATGGCATGCTTTTAAACTTTGGGATATTTTAGATGGTGTGCCCCAAACCTTGGGATGAAAAGGCCTATTCTCCCTATAAACAAATAAGGATTACAAGGATTTACGCCAAGCTATATTCGTAGACGCCAGTTGTGGAAAAAAAAATTTGTACGGATAACCGGTTACAAGGGAAAATTCTTTAAGTCATGAAAATAATTTTTTCTCAATGTTAAAAAAATTGGATATCCATTTATACTTTATTTGATGAAACCCTCCGTGAATAATATTTTAACTTAGACGAAATAATATCTAAAAATCACTGTGCAACGCACAGGAATACTACTAGTGTCAAAGGAATACTACAAAAGTTAAAAGTAAAAGATTGAAACATCAAAACTAGAATCATCAATTCACCATGAGAAATTTCATCACCCACACAGTTGAACATGTTGGGAGTCCATCTTAATCCAAGCAGAGTGCACCATCTGTATGGAATTGTGAAAGCTATCGCAAGAAGTTCCCATCTCAAAAGTGTGGTACTTTTTGGTGGAGAGAGAATAAAACAACCCATTGTTGCCTCGGAACTTTGGGAAGAAAATTTTGTTAGCTGCTCCTCTAATACTAGTCCTTTCCACGAAAGATGAGCTCTGGCTTAAAAATATGACTCTATCATTCAAATGAGAAACCTTCTTCCAAACCATCTTGGTCATATCTAGTTTGCAAACACATATCTCTTTGCCTTGATACGCTATGAAAACAGCCCAAAGATCACCTTCTCCTTCAAACATGAAACGTTGACAATCACTTGCAGAGAAATGTCGCCAAAGGTGCTTTTTGGGAGGATCTATTTTACGGTGTTTGTTTCCCTTGTGGTCATAAATGACCAGATTCCCATCTGAACCCATAAAATAGAACTCCTCTCTGTAAAAAACAGGCTGACAGTAAGACGGCTCAAAATAACCAAAACTTTGGAATTCAAGACTGGTAGAAAATGCCCTATCGCCTCGTTTCATTCTCTTAACCCAAACCGTGTGTCCATCACACATAATCTTAACAATTTGGCAGTCTTGCGAGGTTGGAGGACTTGAAAATGTAATCAACCGAAACGAATTGATTGCAACCGGGGGGAGGTCTATCCGCTCAGTAGTGAAGGGATGGTAAAAGAACATACTAGAGTTTCCTTGTGCCATTAGCAACCAACCATACTTAGCTACAAGGATTATACCCTTCTGGCAATCTTGGGACGACGTCCATTCGGAAAAAGGCATTGTACATGGGATGGAAGAACTTGTCCCAGAGTAACAAGCAGGGACAACTTGTTAATTCGCCATCACTATTTGGCGGAGGAATTCTTGTGACGATTGAAGATACCGAACCCCAAGTTTTACACACTAAAGAGAACACAACTGCATCTCCAGCAAAAAGTTTGGACAATATTAAACTTAGGAGGTCAATTGGAAGATGTGACCAGGGCCTTGTATCATCTTCCTTCTGAGTTTGATCGCCGGACAACATAGTAATCTCACGTCCCCAACTTGTTTCCTCAATTATTTTAAATTATAAGCAGCAGGTATTACTTGGCGAATAAAGGACCTCCTGATCATCACCTTATAAAGACTTGTGTGTTGGTTACCAAATTTTGATCCTTTTCATAAAAGGTTTTGGTAAAACTTTTAAAATATTAATCCTTTGCAAACTATAATTCTTGTCAGGATACATGTTTCCTAAACTTATCCCTTTCTTGTCAGGATACATGTTTCCTAAACTTATTCCTCAAAACAGTGTCGTGACTTAATAACAACTGCAACATTATATAACTTATATGTAAGAACGTCAATCGTCATGATCCACCAGCAATGATCATCTGTAGCGGCAGATCTTCCTAATTGTAATATTGGACTGCTTATATTATAATGATCTATTTTTAATCCATAGGTTTCTAAACTCCACCCATATCCAATCAAAATAAGAGTATGTTTCGTTAAATTATTGGTTTGGGAATCGGGATAGCTCCTGGTAATAATATTTAGTTGCTTAATCATTTTGTTTTCCGGATAAAGGGTAATCGATATACGAAATCCATACCTTATCAACATATTTGGGAGTAGTAGTATTTATTAACATCAATGGGTAATGATTATGTTTGTTCAAAGGATTTCATCATCATCATCAACTACATATTTGGGAGTAGTAGTATTTATTAACATCAATGGTTGCAAGTTGATTGCGGAGAATGGTCTTCAAGGTGGCATTGCATTCCCCACGGGCTGCTCATTGAATTGGGTTGCAGCCTACTGGACTCCGAATTCTGGGGATAAAACTGTTAAGTATGATGATGTTGTGAAACTGGATTTTGGAACACATATTGATGGTCATATCGTGGACTGTACATGTAGTGTTGCATTCAATCCTATGTTTGACCTCTACTTGAGGCCTTACAGGAAGCCACAAATATGGGAATCAAGGAAGCTGGAATTGATGTTCACATTTGTGATGTGGGGTGCTGCAACAAGAGTCATGGAATCATTTGAAGTTGAAATTAATGGGAAAGTATACCAAGTTAAGAGTATCCGAAACTTGAATTGGGCGCAGTTTTGGGACCTACCAAATCCATGCTTGAAAATCTGTTCCAATTGTAAAAGAAGAAGAACAAACAAAAATGGAAGAAGGGGAATTATACGCAATTGAAACTTTTGGATCTACAGGAAAGGGGTATGTGAGAGAAGATCTGGAGTGCAGTCATTACATGAGGAATTTTCATGCAGGCCACATTCCGCTGCGGTTACCCAGAGCAAAACAGCTTTTGGCAACAATCAACAAAAACTTCTCAACTTTGGCTGTCTGCAGACGGTATTTGGATCGCAATATTGGTGAGACAAAATATCTGATGGCACTGAAGAACCTGTGTGATACTGGAATTGTGCAGCCTTACCCTCCATTGTGCGACATCAAAGGGAGCTACGTATCTCAGTTTCAGCACACCATCTTACTACGCCATACTTGCAAAGAGGTGGTTTCAAGAGGCGACGACTATTAGTTAGCATTTCTCGAGAGTTTAGAAGAAAGAACCATTGGCTCTATAATGCTACAATGTTTTTTTTTTTTTACCGTATTATTATTATAGCATAGAATTAATTAAAGCTTGAATTGCGCTTATTCAAAAGTTTGCATTTTCACATCTGCAACCCTTACCTCCATAGTCCATACTAGGTATTAAGCTCGTCCGATGGATAGGTCAAACAAACACATATTAATATTACAATATAGATCAAGCAAAAGAATTTATCATTTTATGGATTTTCTATGTAAAATAAAAATGTTAATTGTAATATATATAATAGTTTCATTTACACTGAAATCTAAAAACACAAAAATCAAACACTCTATCATCTGAATATAGTGATAATTTATTTAATATCAAGTGGGATTTAAGAAATCCATTAAAGAAAATAGAATAAACTCGACACAAAGATAACATGCACAAATGAAAGAGCAAAAAACTTTCAGAACGTATTGTTTTTCGATCCAAAAAAACCCAAATCATGATGCTTCAGGATAACAAAATATTCCTGTCTTTAAAGTGTTCTAGATTATGTTTTAGTCCACTAAATTTTCAGAATAACAAAAGTGATTGACAAATCGTTCAAGTCTATATGGATAACATCATTCTCAAGCCATTTGTTTGACAAATCGTCCACCACATCTGACATCCCTGAATGACTTTCACCGTAAAAGTCTTTCATTTTTACCATTTTGACTTGCTGCTTCATCCCTTGATGAGAACGAAGCCCGATTTCTAAGAAGAATAATCGAATTATTTTCATATTTATTACGGTATATATATATATGTATATATGGTATAGATTTACCATTTATCGTAAACAATGTATTTTGCCGTAGATAGGAATGTTGTACCGTAAATTAGGGAGCTGATTACTTTACGCTCCGTGTATATTATGAAACCCTAATATACCATTGACGGCAGAAGCTTGAGCCGTTCTCCAATTGTCTCGCTTCATTACATGGTATCAATCGCAGGACGACAATCTTCTTCCTGTTGATCTTCTTCCTTTCGTCTGCTCCTCATGACGAATACTCAGCCTTCCGGTGAAAAGCAACAGGCGAATACCAGTGATTCCGTCGTTCGTCACCGAACACTTTCTCCTTTTGATATGTCGGCCAATGATCTTCCTGGCAACATAATCACCACCGTCCAGCTTCGAGGGGATAGCAATTTCGCCGAATGGTCCAAGGCCGTCACCGCGGCACTTCGGGCTCGAAAAAAACTGGGGTTTCTTGACGGTTCCATCACATAGCCAGCGGCGTCTCCCCCCGACGCTGAGGATTGGGAACCCATCAATTCGCTGCTCGTCTCTTGGATTATGAACACCATCGAGCCTTCTCTCCGCTCGACTATTTCTCACACGTTAATTGTTCGAGATTTGTGGTTGAATTTTCAAGAATGTTTTTCCCTTGTCAACGGTTTGAGAATTCAACAATTAAAGTCTAATTCAGCCAATTGTCGCCAGAAAGGTCTCAGCATTGTATAGTATTATGGCCGCTTAAAGTTAATCTGGGACGAATTAGCCACATATGATGCTCCTCCGATGTGTACTTGTGGCGGGTGCACGTGCAACGTTTCTGCCGCCGCTGCAACGAAGCTGGAATAGGAAGAAATCCACCAATTCTTGTAGGGTCTGGATGATGGTGTGTTTTCCACTGCCCATTCGAACATACTTGCTCAAGATCCTTTCCCGCCATTGAGGAAAGTGTAGTTGACGATTGTTCGGGAGGAGCGGATGCGGATGATTACTCATGCCCAGGAAGCCCCCTCCGAGACGATGAATTTTGCTGGCTCTACATCTAGTTCGCCGGCTGCTGGTGGTTCTGCCGGCAAAGTGGTGGCCATGGCTGCTTCTGTTGGCTCCAAGACTTCCGGACGTGGAGCTCCGGTGGTTTCCGGTGGTGCTGGCGGTGTCCCTTCGCTTCACTGTACGAATTGCCAATGTCCAAACCATGATGTTTCCACCCGCTACAAGCTAATTGGGTATCTGGCCGGCTGGTCTCGTGGGCGTGGCGGTGGACGCGGGCGAGGACACAACGGTTCTGGTTCTGGTCGCGGTCAATCTCCTTCACCCGGAGTTGGTTCGGGTGGTTCTCTTCAGCCCGTGATTGCCAATATTGTTGTTGTGCCCAGTTCAAGTGGTTCGGGTGGTGATTCTTCTCATCCGGCTGTGACCAGTTTGAACTCTGACCAATGGAACACTCTCCTTTCCTTATTGAATTCGGCTAAGCCGGTTTCGGGTGCACTTTGGCTCTTAGAAAAATTATGATCGACAAACAGTGCTTACCTTGTCGAGAAGAAAGTTTAGTCGGTAACAACTGCTTATCGGCCGGCCGGCAAATAACTTTCAAGCCCCTTGTACTTTATATTTTATTATTCTACTCAAAATCCTAGTTTACGACAGTTACCTATTTCTTCTTTGTCCGAATCCTCACTTGATTTGGACCACGAGTCACCATTGAGCTTATATATAACCAACGTGTTTCCTCCAAATTTGTAATCCGATTCTTCTCGTGTTAGACGTTGGTTTCTTCTCGTGTTATAATCCGATTCCTCCCCTAAAATTAAGAGATTATCCCGTATATAATCTCGATTGCTTGCCTTGATTTTGTCCCCAAAAAAAAAAAAAAAAAAATTTGTGAAGGCAGATGGGAAATCAAATTTCGCGATGGTCCAAACAAGGATCAAGAAAGTCATCAAAATCAAAGTCAATTGCTGAGGAGAAACCGTTTTCTATTGCAAAGATTGCCCCTGATCATGTGGATGTGGATCAACAACCATGGCCATGCCTACTGATTTCTCATGGAACCAATCAAAAACCAATCCTTACTTTCTACAACGCATCCACTGAGCAGTATCAGTCGAAATTGGCTCTGGAATTAGTGAATAAAACCGTGCTCAAGTCTAATGGACAATGGTTGCTTATCCAGGATGACATAAATGAAAGTGATTATTGTATCTTGAATGTTGTGACAATGGAAAAGCTGCAACTCCCACGACTAGAAGAAGACTTAGAATTAAATTGTCATGGTGGTTATTTCAGCCTATCCTCGCAAAACCCGACCGCCAGCGAGGGTGATTGTCATGCTTATATAATGAAAGGGGCAGATCATGTTAACATGTTTTGGCCGATTGGCGCGAAGGAATTCATCAGGCAAGAATTGGTAGAGCTAAAACGAGAGGATATTAGGCCTATGACGGCCGCTGTGTTCCAAGGCAAGGTGTATTACATGACCGGCCCTGAACTCTCTCTATATTGTTCGGAACCCGAAATCGCGCCCTCGGATAAAGTTCATCTCAGGGAGATCATAACAGAAGAAAAGATGAATACATTGCTCTTTAACAAGGACCGTTGCTTCTTGCTTGAATTATGTGGACAGCTTTTGTACATTGACCGAGTTGTGAGTGACGTGAGGCAGGCAATGTTTCAAATACTTCGAGCAGATTTAGAGGCAAGTACATGGGAAAAGGTGAACGATATTGGTGATGATTATGCCATCTTTTATGATGATTTTGGTGCTTTTGCTGCTTGTGTTGCCGGATGCGGGCTTCGAGGTAACTGCGTTTATTATCCAGAAGACGACGGTTCATTGAACGCTTATGACTTAGGGAATGGTGGGGGTTGTTTTAGATTGTTATCTCCATTGCCTTTCACCGAAACAACATCTGAGCTGCGCTGGCTTCTAATTTCCAATATCAACTCCAAGTAAATCCTTGATGTAATTGGGGGCTAAGTTAAATTTCCATCTGACAGGCACGGTTATTTGTGTGTCAAATGTCTTTTTAAGTACTCCCTCCGTCCCATAATTATTGTTCTATTTGAGTTTTTGTTTTTAGTTTAAATTGTACTAAAAGTAAAAAGTCAAACTGGACAATAATTATGGGACGGAGAGAGTAGTAGAATAGTAGTATAATTTTGTTGTTCTTCAATTCAAAATTACATTGTTTTACAATTAATGCATCCATTGCACACAGAAATAAGCATAACAAAAGATCAATAAATGAGTTGAATACTTAGAAAGTTCAAATAAGAAAAAAAAAAAAGATAAATAGAACAAAACCTGAATCATGCAAGTGATAGATGAGTGAAAAATGTCTCGGTTGAAAGACGATGTGATTGGTATATTTTTTATTCACATAGATGTAATTTAGTGGCGACAAATAGAGCAAAACCTTAATCATGTTTCACCTTAAAAGCTTTTAGTTCATATATCTTGGCACCCCAATCTACTTCGGAGGGAAAAAATTAGTACGAGATTCAACTGGAATAATAACACCGATTGAGAACACACTTGTAGCATCGGATGCCTTCCAAGTTGGACTCTGAACACGAGAAAGATGGCCTGTTTATTTCTTCTACACTTCAAATCATTATCATCTTTGTGACCATTTCTGGAAGCTGGATTTCTCATAAGACGAAATACTTCGAATGAACATCAAACTGCTCCGACGATGACAATTGAGGTTCCTATATCATGCCAAAGCAATTAAAGCAAATCAGACCTGTACAAATTATTGGTCTAAGGTCCAGATTCACTATACCTGGACTGAATCTGGCTCGATTCTTCCATTTGACAGCGTTTTCTGCGCGTCGTGAATATAGTTTCGCATGGTTGAAAGTAAGTAACCATATGTCAATCTTGCTTCATTGCGCTCTACTATTTGGATAAAGCTGTAAGTCAGGGCACCAGTTGCCGACCCTGTGAAAATCTGATCCAGAACAATGAAAATGGTTGAAGGGAAGCCTCGAGAGTTATGATCCAATAGTAATAATGCTAATGAGCAGGTTTATTTTGATTGTTAGAATCAATGATCAAACAAAACAAAACAAAACAAACAGATCAATTTTTCCAGAGTACTACTAACTGGTGCTTCTCCAGAATTCTGATTATCATCACAGGCACTGATAGAAATCGCCAATCCCCCACTGGTACCCTTATACGGTGCATATCGCCCGTTAGGCATCCGATGATCTTCCCACCGGTAATATCCTTCCCTGATGAACAGAAATTCCTTGCAACTAATGCATTCTATTTTTAGAACAAAAGAAGTAACAAAAGTACACATAAATGTCTATGTATTTACCGGTTCATTCTACACAGAAATGGTAGATCTAAAAAAGTTCCACTAAAGCAAGTGTCAATGATGGCATGAAGCGTGGCGCCACGAGGGAGTGGTCTTACTATGATATCATTGATCTGATCATCCAGAATCTTCCCCTCAGTCTCATAGTCAACCGGGCACAATGCTTCGTCGTGTCCATCCACCTCATCTCCATCGCGGTCTCTCACCCGAGATCCATGGCCTGAGTAGTGAAACACCAATGAGTCCCCTGATTGACATCCTTGGACAAGCCACTGCAAGGCTGTTAGGATGTTGCGCTTCGTTGGTTGTCGATACGGATCTTCTTCTTCCTCTGCATCATATCAGGGCAAATCATTCACTTGGTAACTTGATTTTGCTAGATGGTACTATGTTTTGGACTTAATTAATCTGCAGCCAGACTTCCTGTATTTGCAAATCCATAGCTATCTAGCTTCTACATATATGGGAAAAAAAAGAATTATCCCGGGAATTTTGTTTTTTTGAAATGAAGCATACCTGTAAGAACCACAACAGAAGCATTTGGAAAGCCCAGCTTCCAAACTAGAAGAGATTTCATGGATAGCACATCGTTAACGCTTCCTTTAAGAGCCTTCGGGTGCCCCTGGTAGGTTATCCCACATAAAACAGCTCTTTTTCGGCCATGAAAGTTAGGTGGTGAAACCTGAATTGGTATGTAAGACTGGTAATATCTTGCAGGATTCCAGCCATTTGTGTTGTCATAACTCATGCCATTGTTTGAGATCCGTGGGTGACTTCCATTCATTTGTGGGTGTAGATAACCAATATGGTAATTCCTGGTTTGGTTGATGTTTTGGCAGTATGGACAAGAAAAGGCTTGTGCTTGCAGGGGCACTAGCATTTTCTGCCCACACCATTGGCATTTCTCTCTTCTGGTAGCCATATTTTCTTTTCCAGGATAGCTTAGAAAAGCCTGATTGAGTACCGAAGCACAACTGAAGTTGGATTATATAGTATAACCTAGTTGCAACGTTGATTTGATCCGTAGCTTTGTTTAATGATTATCTCAATGGAATCTATCGCTTGTCAAAGGGAAATGGTTATTGTCCGCAGAAAGTGTTGTAAGGAATTAGATTCAGTCTTTTCTTATATTATCAAAACTTTCTGCTGTGATCACGAGATATGGTCGAACAGTAGGAATCAGTTCTCCAGAACATTTTTATTGCTTAGCTTCACTTGGTAGTCAAAACTTTGCAAACTTTACTGGGAAGAAAAGAACTATTTTGCAACGGAATCTTGCAATGTACAAATCTGAAACAGAACTATTTAGCAGAGGTGAAGCAATACTTGCACAAATGCTGAAAACGTAAACGATCAAAACTCACAGAACGGAATAGCGCATTGATGGTACGATCGCTTTATTATTACACTGGACTTCAACATCCAAACATCTGCCCTAGTTTCACACGAATTCTGGTTCCAATTCTCTCCCAAGTTTACATCAGAGACCCCAGGAATACAAAAGCTAGGATTCCCTTCTAGTAGGCTTTTTCCTCCGTTACTTATTCCAAAGTTTGAAATGTCACACTTCATGGTATCTACTGTGTTACTCAATGCACAGCCATGCTTTTTGAAGAGTGATAAAAACTGTAACTTATTCATGTGAATGAAAGAAATATTAAGGATCCATAATGCAGCTGCTACTCAAAAGTATAGCTACATCTTGTTTTCGAAGACAAATTATTTCTCAACCAATTAATCATCACACTTGAAAACAGCTAGAGCTTGAATACACTGTGCACATCAAAAGGTTCCGAAGATGATAACAGTGGATCCTGCACAACAACCACAAATAATGCAGTCAACTCATAGCAGTTTGATGCAATAGCGCAATCGACAACTTAGAAGAGATTTTGACCATAATACATTAGCTATGATGATGAAACGTTGATGTGCAATATGAAATTGAATATCAGAAACTGAAGTTGCTCTAGTTTGCTTTTTCTTCAAATTAACAATATAAAAGTGTAGTTCTTACCAGAGACCACTTGATTTCAAGTCACAAAAAACCAAAAGAAGCAATTTACACTTTGAACAAGGAATACCTGTAACATCTTGCGATGAAACATCCTTAGCATGCCACCACCAACACAATGTCCTTGGTACTGGTTGTTGGCTTCTTCAATCGCTTCGTGCATGAAGTTAAGTATGCCCAAATACGTTACATTCCGGATATCCGTGATTGCTTTTACAAAGTTATGCGCCATGGCACCTGCCATGGTTTTCTCTGCAGAGAATGCCTGGAAGATGCAAATAAACAAATCATGATTACTGCAAAATCAGATTTTGTGGCGACAATTCCCAGCAAAAATATCAACTTACAGAGGTATCTGCTGCTTGTTGATGATCTTCACAAGCACTAAAACAGATGGCTGTTCCTCCCTTAGTACCTTTATAACTGCCTGATGGAGGACTATTATCATTCCATATCAACCTATAGTGAGAATAAAACAAGTTGATAAGGTACAGTTTCATCTGTAACTTCTGTAAAATGATAAAAACAAATGGTTGTTTGTCTGAGTTAAGAAACTACTGTATTTTCACATATATTCGATTTGACTGGGTGTAACTAGTTGGATCAGTTTTTGCATTGATCTCTCTATGTTGAAATAATTTTACTTCATTGCGTGTTCGCTAACAGCCGATAATCATGGTAACAGAACGAACTCAAATTAGAAAGTTCCTTTGCAAAAATGAATCTCAAGAACGGATGCCCTAATCAATGGTACAACCAAAATCATAACATAAATAAAAACTGAAAGTGACTGCGGAAATATTGTCTTACCTGTGTCTGTCAAAAACCTTCGGCAAATCAAGAATAGTTCCACTGTGACAAGAATCTATAATAGCATGAAGTTTGACACCTTCCTCAAGTGGCCTAACAATCATTTCATTGATATCATTATCAAGTATTAGACCTTCAGACTCAAAATCCAGAGGACAAATTGCTTCATCAAAACCATCCATCTCGTCCCCTTCAAATTCAAGTTGCCGGAAGCCATGTCCAGAGAAACAGAAAACAAATGAATCCCCCTTTTGCGATCCTTTCACCAGCCACTCAAATGCCCGAAGAATATTCCTTTTTGTTGGAAGCTCATATGGACCATCTTCTGAAAGTTCGAAGAATTATTGACATTAGCCTAAACTTAAATCTTATCCAGAACTCTAACCAAGAACATATAAGTATGTAGATGTAATCGGACTAAACTTCAATCTTGCGACTGCCAAAGGTTAAGGAAGTAATGCACAATGGACAACCAGCTTATTGTCTTTGGGGAGAAAAAAAGGCTTCGAGTCTGAAAGGCAAGCATATGAACATATCCTTCCTAACTAACAAGTCCTAATACAGCTTCCAAAATAAGAGAAATTTAGGCACAAGAGCTCATAATTTCACAGTCAGAACTTCAAATAGGTACAAGTTTCATACACGTGTTTATAAACTTCAAAGTTCAAACAACATTATCTGTAAATTAATGCAACATCACCTGATAAAATGAGAATGGAGTCAACTGGGAACCCGAATTTCTTAATGAGCAGGTTTCCCATATTCATAACATCTTGGGTTGTCCCTCTAAGCCTGAATTTCTTATTCTTGTAAGAGACTCCACACAGAAAAGCTCGTTTCCCTCTGGGTGGCTTATCTGAGATTCTTACTGAAGGACAAAAATTAAAGCTGGGTGTGTTTCTTGGACAGACAATATTGCTTGAGAGCTTCCTGTAGAAACTGCGAAACCCTTTTCCTTCAATCACGATACAACGTGGATCTTGGTTTGTCGATTTGCACACCCGAGATGATGATACTGAACCTCCGGTATCACCAACTGAAATGATGTCTCCACATCCATGGCAACGAATTTTCCGAGTAGATGGAGTCACTGATGATGTTCTTTGGCATCTTTTGCATACCACGGTACCCATATGAGTAAATGATAAACTTTTGCTCTAATGGAAGATTAACAACCCACCAATTTCATTCTCCACTAACAACAGGGACCTGGATCAACAGGAACGACTGAAACAGAAACAATGCAAGCGATATTAGATACACAGAATTCGTCAGGCCTTGAAAAAGTTCTTACACACAATGTGGATTGAAAGTCACTGATATTCAGAAGAAGTTTGAAACATTTCTAGAAGAGGAATAAAAACATGCTAGTCAAATCAAGAGCATTATGCATAAAAGATAGAAGAGGCAAAGTGTGTACATCTGGACTTTCTTACTCGAACTTGAGAGCTACTGTTGGAAAACAATGGACATGACAGAAATCATCCTGTTAACAACTTGTGGAAATGCAAGCACAACTTTAATCATATTCTTCATAGAAAACAAGATCTAATTGGCATAAATAAGGTGTATAAAAGGGGTGGAGTATGATGCAAGAGAGGAGGAGTTGATGCAGCTATTTGTACAGTGATTTAAGGACACATAAATGCCAGAACCAAATTTAGGGAGTGCTTTATTCCCATGTAATGACTTCAGTCTGAAGATCTTAAAGATGCTGTCTTTTTAAGGATATGAAGAATCAGATGCCTAATGCGGTAATGCCTAGCCACACGAGCTGGCTATTGCCAACTTCGTTCTTTCCATTGTAGGGAAATTCCCTTACCACTGACCAACGAACGATCATAACCTCATCTAAGCTTTTGAATACATTACGGTATTCCCGGGGTGCCATGAAATTAGAGGAGCACAAAGTACGTATAAAAAAAACCATAATCTAAAAAGAAATGGGATGCCCGAAATTTAATGCTACAACATATCATATATTCTCAACGTCCCAAAAACAAATTAGCCTTTATTGCAGTCTTTTTGTCCGATAAGAAGAATTCCAGATTTGAGACGGTAGAGTATTCTGTTACTAAGAGATTACAAGACGTCCTATGGTAACCACTAGAGCCCCTATAGACGTCCTGTTACCAGTTTAATTCACTAGAGACCTGAAAGCATAAATGAATAATAATAGACTTGAGAGCAATAAAATACCTAGAAGCATCATTTAGATTCCCTATTCGAATGCATCATTTCGATCTACCAGAAAACCGTTGATAAAATATACATAATTTTCTTTTTCCCCCAAGCCACATTACTTGCTATGAGAAAAAGCATTTCTGAATTCTGGATCTGTCTAAAATGAGGTTCAAATGACATTTAGATGTACTTCCTAGCCCAACTACAGCTGGTAAATTTGTCTAAACTGATAAGGAAATTAGGTGTGAACAGAAGACTAGACACATTTTTCTACAAACAACACAGAAACTGTTGCGCATCAAGCTTTCATGTTGCAAGAGAAGCTACCCCAAAAGAATCATCAGTGCAGAATCCCTGCAGGAAGAGGATACAGATGTAAGAAACAACAATCAGGGAGAGTGATAGATAATAAGTATGAAGAGTAGATATAATCAACTGCAATCATCTTCACTTGTATCTAAATCAATATCCTTCAAAATCCTCAAGGTATTAGGGAGATTTATAACGAGTCAGAGTGAGAAGAGATCATCTGAAAGTTTCCAGAGTTACTTTCCATCATAAGTTAGGAGGAAAAGAAGGGATAGATTTTCACCTATATGAATAGAGCCATCCCCCAACAGAGAACTGGTGACAACCCTTAAAATTAGAAGAGAGGAGGACCTCAACTACAGATTCTGTTAAAATGCCCGGAAATATTATCCTTGCAAGCTGTGCACATGTATCCGATTGAGCCCAACTGCATGTCTGACTCAGAACCCTCGACTTTAAACTCAGAATTGCACCAGACACACAGAGTTGTGAATTCTTGTGTAGCTGCAGTCATCTTCATTTCAGTTTCTTTTGTGTCAACTCCAACGGAGGGGGTTAGTCCTTGTCCCAACATTATATCACTTGCCACACCCTGGAAGACCCCCGGCAAAGATGATGTCTCCAGCTTTTCACTTCCACCAACAAAATCATAATCCATTTCATCCAACTGCAACTCTTCAAACCCGGTCAAATCCCCAAACCTTTGGCCATCTACAAAAAATCCAGTATCTCCCTGCAAATAAAGGTAGCAAATCCCTATTAATCACAATACCCCCAAGATCAACATGTTGTAGTTACGGAATATGACATTAAATGACTAAGCATTAACAGGTTTCCCTAATTTCTGTCGTTTAACACCGTCATGTCTCTTGAATCAGCCAAAAAGGACCAGTGAGACAGTGTTTCCTAACTAGTAAAAATGCAATCTCTCAATCTCCTTTGTAACTACAGCACAACACGTCATACAGAATAGAGGCAAAATAGATAGGTCCTCCAGTCCTTAATAAAATTTGGTCTACTGGTGAGCAATAATCTCATGCGTGGTTGTGTAGTGCAACTTTTGGCAAAGGGTATCAAAATTTCCTATGTCATCTGCAACTGAAAGGGAGAATATATAGATTTGGACTTTGATATTCGTGACTCTGATTAGAAACATCCCAACTCATCTACAAATCCAGTACTTTAAGAAGGCAAATTTACAACAGCATTTCTTAAACCCAGGGTACACACTAAAATGCTCTGCATGTATGATACAGAAAATTTAATTCAAAAATCTTTTGGAACGACATTGAAGTTCTTCAAATGAGCAAAAGAGTCGAGTCAGATATGCATGTCAGCATGAAAGGTAACAAATCAAAGAAGAAAACATCAAAAGGAGCAACTATTTTTCGAAGAATCTATATTCGAAATATAAATACATGTATTTATCAGCTTTTATACCTTGTCTGATCCAGAAGTTAAGTACTCAATTGGATGCATCAAAGGAGCTGGGGCGGGTGTACTCTCATTCTGAAGCACAATTTCATCACCTGTTAGCACCTTGGTATTTGCAGCATCATCAGTAATTTCAGAAGCCATATGTTCAAAACCCTTTTCTGTAGCTCCCTTTGGGTATTCATTAAACTCCTTGGCACCTGACTGATCAGTATCACGTTGACAAATTTCAATCAGATTAGCCACGGAACTTTGCCTACCATCTCCTTCCATTGTTTTCTGATCTGCCACTTTGTATTCACTTCCATGTTCAAGTAAGTCTTCATCAGGAGCTCCGTTAGCCTTGAGTTCTGCCAAATCAACAGGATCAGAATCTGCAGTTTCTTTGTGATGAGGGTGGCCAGCCAAATTTTCATCCGAATCCGCAATAGAAGGGCCGGAAACATCCAAAGCTGCAGAACTAAGCAGAGCACTTGAAGCTACCACAATCGTCGTATTAGTCTCAACTGTTGGACACGGAACCTCTAGAGCAGGAGACTCCATCATCTTCTGGACATAAGCTGACGTAGGTGGTTCTTCTGAGGATCCAGTTTGGTTCCTACCATGGCCTTCTACATGATCATCGTAACTACACTTTTCTAGGAAGACCTGCTGGCAGAACTGGCACTTCAATGCGCTATCTTTAATGATCATACTCTGACTAACCGAATTACCAAATTTAAACCTCCTTGTAGTCTGTTGGTGAAATGACACAAGGTGCTGCAGGTATGCATTCTTTTTGTCAAAAGACACGCCACATTTGAGACACTCAAAAAGGTCCTGAACTTGAACCTCAGGAAGATCATTTAAGTCCACTGGAAAGATTTCCCTTCCTAGTCCAATAGGGACTGCTAAATTTGCTGAAGAAGAACCAGAACCGAGCTCATCAACTGCAGAATCAGGACCTTCGGCAATACCTGCACCCTGTTCCATAGCCTATAAAATTAATTTGCAGAACAATTGAAGACAAAATTTGGAAGAACTATACATGTAACATACATTCCCAGAAGCTGTCGCACCAGGGTGATCAACTGGGCACGTCTGCTGATCAACTGCCAGTTTTGATCCCTTGGCTTCAAAATAGGAGCGCAGAAAAGATGCAGCCTCCTTGCAGGATACAAATTGCTCTCCAGAGGGGCTGGGAAAAACACAATGAAAAATCATTGCGGCTAGAGTTGAAAAAAGGAAAGCTTAATAATGTAAATACCACAGCACCAAAATACATATCTTACAAGAAAGATCTATCAACAGCAACCAAATTCAATTTCCCAGCTCCAAAAAACCATAAACATTTATAAATGGATACGCAGCAGACCAAATACAAACACTAAAAGATATGAAATGCATTTTTTATCTTCAAATTAATCACATAACCGATGAAACGGAAAGGCCACCTTACGATTCTGTGACTGAATACAGAGACACGGCCATCACGCCTTCTGAGGCCAAGCGACAGCTTCCATCCAATGGGTAAAGCGTCACCGAATTCGTTGGCATCAACAAACTTCCTTCTTTTCCTCGTACTACCCCATTGCCCCTCTATGCCCCTTAGAAAGCCTAAAACTTTTTCCTCTGTTTGCAATCCCCTGGTCCTTTTGCCCAATTCTGCAGCAAACAACTTATCCCCATTGCTCTCCAGCGCAGTGAAATCCACCTCCTGACCCTTCTTGTTCACTCTTTGCATTTCCACCCCCTTTTTACTTTCCGTTAAAGCCTTGTTCTGTTTGGCTTTTTTCCGAATCCTTTTCCTCTTCTTCCCGGCGGCATGCACGGCCAAAGCCATTTTCTCCTGCAACCCGAAACCCGGTTGATCCTGCGGCTGGTCATGAACCACAACGGGCTGAGGAGGCGGAATCGGCGGCGGAGGAGGAGGAGGAGGGCAGGTGGAGGTCGAATTATGCTCCAAATAATGCTTGAGGAAATGAAGAATGGAGTGGTTCTCGGGGTCTAAAGCGGGAGAGAGTTTTGAGCCTGGAGTGAGGCCGGGGCGGCGCGTACGCGTGTGGAGGTGATGATGACGGCTGTCACGGAGGCGGGAGTAACCCTGACGCCGGCTTCCAGATGACTCGTGAAAAATGGAACGGTCGATGTTGGGGATGACGACATCATCGGTGCGGTGGAGGTCGAAAGCGGAGTCAGAGCACATGGAAAGAGCCTGAAGCTCCGACTGGGATAGCTTCCTGATATCGATGTCGGTTAAAGATTCTAAATTGGGGCCGCATGAAGAGCGTGTGGTGGCGGCGGTGGGCGGCGGCGGCGATGGTGGTGGTGGCGGAGGGGTGGTGGCCACCGTCCCCATCGTCTTGAATTCTGCGTTGGGGAGAGTGCTTGATCAGGTGTACATGGTTTTGTGAGTGTTTGTGAGAGGGTAAAAAATGGCGGGGACGGCGAGAAATGAGTGGTGACAGAGACGGCGGAAGACGGCGGCTGAAGTGGGGGAGTGAGAAGGTGGTGGTGGTGGGACTTATTTAAGTCATAGAGGTGGTACGGCTTACTGAATGAAATGTCTGAAAGACAGCTGAAAGACTGCCGTTTCTCTCTTTCTCTTGTCTTTTTCTCTTCTTTTCTTAAACACCTGATCTTTTTACTCTCTCTTTTTTTAAGTTCTTTCTTTCCTTCTTTTAGTATAAAAAAATCATGGAGTACATCCTAAAAAACGTGTCTGTATGGCATTCCAAAAGAGGAATAACGATAAAAAAAAAAATCTTTATTTTCTTGAAGATTATATTATACCCCATTTGAATTGCTAGCTAAACACAAATGACGCTCAAAAATGTGTAACAAATACTATCAAGTTACCATAGCATTCACATGTTGTGATACATAGTACTATATAAATTTATATTAATTTTCTATATGCTGAAAGTAATTTACTTTTAATTTTTGCTCAAATTTCTTTTTCGTTGTAGTGATTGTTTTTCTTTTTTATTTAATAACTAATTTCATAGTTTCAAAATCGATAGCGAGTTAGTTTTTGTATCGCGTATAGCTTGACATGCACGTTAGTAATCGTGTCTACGCTACTCCAACGCGCGTGGTGATGCTACTTCAATCGTTATCAGGTCTCATTCCGTATATAATAATCTAGTCGATAATGTGCGACAAACGCAAACATGTACATTTCCGACTTTGTTGTGCCTTTTCAAATTAAATTAAATTGATTAAATTTTCCGTACGCATAGTAAATAAAGAGAATAAAATAACTGATAATATCCATACACCATTCCATCTATATGATAAATTTAATCCAACAATAAAATAACGCTTAATCAATCATAATAGTCGTACACTATTCTGTACAGATGCTAACTATATTCCAACACAAATTAATTCTATAATAATAACCGACACCATTCCATCTATATGATAAATTTAATCCAATAATAAAATAACATAGATTAATCCATCATAATAGTCGTACACTATTATGTACATATGGTAACTATATTTCAACATAAATTAATTCTATAATAATAACCGTATCTTATTACTATAACTTTATTTCCATTACAAAACACTTTGGAGTTTTTCCTATTTAACAAATAAAATTGATTTATACTATCCATAATATAAGCGATGAATATCTCTACTGATGAAGACACGAGATTAATTGTTTTGGTTAATTGTAGTTTTGTGTTAATACGAGTGAGACTATAATATCAGTATCTATTGCTCTTGCGTATCTCATGGAGAATTATTAGTTGTGAAAGTAGCATTTGGCAAAAATGATTGAATAATCATAACTGATAAACAAGACTTAGGAGCTGCAGGCAATCATCAGCCGTAATAATTAAATTATTGAAGAAAAGCCAACTTCTAACGAGCTATTTAATAATATTTAACAAAAAGATTAAAAGAAAACAATAGTTAATCATTTCTTAATCCTAAAAGCGTATTTGAAAAAGAAATTCAAAAAAGTCCGACCTGCCGGATTCGAACCAGCGACCTAAGGATTTCAGCACCATACTACAGTCCTCCGCTCTACCAACTGAGCTAAGGTCGGCTATGCTTTGAACAGCACAGATTTTTAATTTTATAATATAAGCAATAGGTTACAGGCCAAAATAAAAAGGACAAAATATCCGACCTGCCGGATTCGAACCAGCGACCTAAGGATGACAGCTCCAAACTACAGTCCTCCGCTCTACCAACTGAGCTAAGGTCGGATTGATGACTACGTTAAACGTAAGTTTTACAAATACGGGTATTCTTTCAATTTCTTCCTTTTTTAAAAACAATTCATAATCACAAGATAGATGCAACTCTAATGAGGCATCTGATTTTGTTAGGGGATAATTAATCACTAAAAACCAATGTAAAACAAATACCTTCAAATTCATGTCACACTAAACTTATAATAACTACTATTTAATGTTACAAATAACAGTAAACTCGTACACATCGTATATGTTTTGTAAAACATGACAAGTGACCTAGTTATAAGATTGAAGGGATGATGCATCGGTGATGTTATTATACGGTCGCTAGCCTATGGTTATAAGTTTAGAATTTATTCTTAACTGGTAAATTGTAACACCTTTTTTTTCACTCAAATTCCAATACAAAGATATAATTCATTTTAAAAGTAACATTTTTAGACCCACAATACACGTTTTACAACCTCTTTTGACATACATATGTGCTCGATATTTTAGGTTACAAACCAAAAATAACAAAAAGTTACAGGTAATTAAGAACCAAAATACCCAAGTGTGTGACAAAAAGGAAAAGACTTAAAATTAGGAGGGACTAAGTTGAACTATAAAATTATTGACACAACAAGAACAACAATAAAGACTAAAAAAGGGGTATTTCTCGAAACTCCCTTTGGCTCCTCCCACCTTTCGGAGCCTCTCCGCCTCATCCTTGGAGCTTTTGAGTTTCGACACACCACTCTTTTCTGCTTGGAAAAACCCTCCTCAGATTGCCATAGTCCCCATTAGCAATACCCAGTCTCTGAGCCCATATTGAAAAGGTTCAGGTTCTTACCATACTCTGTTTCTCCTTTCGATTTGCTCGAGAATGTGTTCTTTTTTCTCTCTATTATGTGAATTGTCTGTGGATGGTCTGATTACTCGTCTGTAGTACCTATTTGTTGATTTTATGCGCCAATAAATATTTTCTCTGTGTATGAATAAAGCCATATTGATGCAAAATTGAGTATTTCTTCAGTATCAGTGTGTTAAAAGACCTAACTTTATTAAGTGGTCTGCAACATTTGTTGGCCTTGCCTATCTGTGGTATTCATATGTGTTTTATCATAAAGTATTAGGCCTATGTACGGGAAAGTAACACTCCCTCCGTCCCAAAATTATTGTCCACTTTGAGTTTTCATTTTTAGTACAAATTATACTAAAAGTGAGAACCCAAACTGCGACAATAATTATGGGACAGAGGGAGTACAATTTTTGGACAGTGACCCTCTGTTTTTTCCGGTTTGATATCACTGTTTGCCGTTTCTTTTTCAGTTTGTAAAGTTTCGAAATGTAATGAGTTAGTGTTGTGTGCGTGTCTTTTTGTTTAAGTTCGCCAGGAAGCACATTTTTGAGGTCCCAACTAGTTTTGGGTTTAGCATTGTTGATATATGAAATAGTTTCCCTGCCTCAAGGTGGAAGCTGTATCATTCGATATGCCCTCTATGCACTTTTGTTAACATGCCTCAATCACTTACTTGTCTTTTGTATGTATGTCTCAGATTTGGTAGTGCTTTGACTCTGCATTGATCGAATCTCGCAACTAAATTTGCTTGTGGAAAATCTTGTCTTGATATTTTTCTATTTTTATCTTTGTTCAATGATTCAGGTGCAAAAGCTTTAATGGCTGTTGTACCTTGTGGAAGCACATGGGTGGCTCGGTGGGGAGTCCAACCTCAAATGGTTTCCAGATTCAGTGTCAAAAGTAAATTATCTTTACCTTCACATTGGTAAGTTGTTATCTTATTTCTATGCAGATGAATTTGGTTTCAGTGAACTTGTTTTCATCTTTTTCTAGTCATCGTAGTTGACTTTAATTACCTACACAAGCTGTCTAACAATATCACCAAAGTTTGGTGCTAATAGTTACCCTTTTCGTCCAACACTTCCATGGTGTCGTATGATCATATCTTATGTCTTTGTTGTACCTTACTCTTGAGAGTTTTTTCTTGTTCACAAGTGGGTTCACTTGAATATGCAAACTCAAAGACATTAACTTTACCTTAGTGGAGAAGTTTGTGTCTTTAGTTAATGTCACTAATAGCTTTGTGCACTATTGGACCAGTGTGATATTCTTTTGGGAGTCAGAATTGATGTACTGGATAGATACTAAACCTTGGAATTCTTTTTCAAATTGTCTTTTCTTTCTCTTTTCAGCGGCTTTCTTAGCAAGAGCAAAGCACTGGGATCACGGAGTTCAATATTTTTTGTTAATAGTTCCGCAAATGCACTTTTCAACTCTGTTGTGTATAAAAGTGCATGCCCAAAAAGAGGAGCTCGGTTTACCGTCAGAGCTGAGCGGGTAAGATTCTAGTTAAGCATGCAGTTGCAGTAACATTTCCCAAGTGTTTTTCGTTGAATGTCTTGAAATATTCTATTACATATGTTTAGGCATTAATCATCTTCCATGTACAGGATTATTATTCTGTTCTTGGTGTATCAAAGAATGCCAGCAAATCAGAAATTAAAAGCGGTTAGTGATGCTTGATTCTTCTTATTGTATGTCATACTTAATTTAGATATCTTGTTCTTATTAAAATTTTCTAGTCATGTTTGTCTACTCATTCACTAGTTGTGTGAGAATAAATTGTGGTGGTAAGGAAATATTTGATCTGGACTGGGCTTAAAATGTTGTTACAGAACTTCGAATGTAAGCTGCAAATTCCTCATTTTGTTTTATATAGGGTAGAATAACATGGTGTATTTATGTCTTCGCATATTAGTATGTGGTTTTGATTCATGTAGATTTCATAGGTTTCAAGGTTTCTTCTGTTGTGACTTCCTGAATACCTTGTAAGCTTTTGAAAGAATGATGTTGGAAAATGTATGGAGAAATTTGATTTGCTATCATATTCCTCCTATTCTAAATACTCTGACCTCAATGTATGTGCTCTTATCAATTTGCTTTCTTAAAGTTGCATTTGCCTTTGAAAAATCTTCAATTCGTGTACCACCATCCCCTGTTTTAATTCATTTTCTGAACCACCTCATATTGGTGGGCTCATTTGTTATGAAGTATGATTTGCACTTTCATTACAATGTAGAGAATATATTATTGGACTGCTCTTTTTCTGGATGTAGTTTTGGGAGTTTCTATATGATATTCATTCTTCATTTTTCTGTTGTTCAGCATACAGGAAGCTTGCAAGAAGTTACCATCCTGATGTGAACAAGTAAGTTAAATCGTTCAAGCTTTGGATACTGCGTTTATAACTTAGGATGTGGCTTATTGATCTTGCATTGGGTTTCTCTTTGACTTCCATTTGTTTGGTGGGTTTTTATATTTAGAAACTGAATATGTAAAATTGGTTTTTACCCCCCATCATGAATGTTACTTTTTGAAAAGAGCTTAAACTTTTCGTGAAGAGATGAACTTTTTATGGGTTCAACTATGGGATCTATACATGCAACCGATCGCTACGTTTTTTATTCCTAGGCAATGGTTGTTGCAATGTCTTGATTGTTTGTGCTTTCTAACAGCGTGATGTCTTCCAGTCACTTCACTTTTAACCTACAAAATCTTGATTTCTCTGGGCATGAATAGATTTTTAAATAAGAATGAAAATACTGGTCTCTTGCCACTTAGGAATATTTGCTCCCTCTCTCTCTCTCTCACATACCCACACACACACACACGTGGTCATGGTTTGAAATCTCTCTTGAAGTAATTCATTTAAGTATTTCTAGGTTTTGTCTCCCATGTGGTATGAAACCCCAGATGTGGGTAGAAGGTGTATTTGTTTTATCTGGTAATGTAGATATCACTTATCAGTCATTCAGATTACTTTCAAGAACCCTGACATTTGTTGGACCTTCTTCTTCAAATTCTTCCTGTTTGCTACATCTTTTTTCCATTGAGTTGCTGAAGTTATACAATTCACCGTGTGCAGAGAACCTGGAGCAGAACAGAAATTTAAAGAGATAAGCAATGCTTATGAGGTATGTCAATGTCATTGTTATTGCATAGGAATGTCATTGTTATCGCATAGTGCATCCTGTATTTTTTTATGACAACTCCTTGACGAAGTTGGAATGGAAATTTATTATTATGCTTTCTGTGTGAATAGGTGTTGTCAGATGATGAGAAACGCTCAATCTATGACAGATATGGTGAGGCAGGGCTTAAAGGTTCTATGGGCACGGGGGTAAGTTCTTATCTCTTTTAAGGAGTTTGAATAGACATTGCAACTTTCTGTGGGATTTTGATATTGATTAATTTGGGCCGTACACCTGTTTGCTTCACTTTTGTAGGATTTCAGCAATCCATTTGACTTGTTTGAGTCTTTATTTGACGGACTTGGTGGTATGGGTTCCAGGGGCCCTGCCCGTAATCGGCCCATGGAAGGCGAAGACCAGGTCTATAACCTAGTTTTAGATTTTAAGGAAGCTGTTTTTGGGGTTGAAAAGGAGATTGAAATAACTAGGCTTGAGAGCTGTAGCACCTGCGACGGGTCAGGTGCCAAACCGGGGACTAAGGCAACAAAATGTGGCACATGTGGGGGTCAAGGGCAAGTTATCTCATCTGCTAGGACCCCGCTAGGTGTATTCCAGCAGGTAATGACATGCTCTGCTTGTGGTGGTGCTGGGGAGATCTCCACTCCTTGCAGTACGTGTAGTGGTGACGGCAGGGTGAGGAAATCAAAGCGTATTAGCCTGAAAGTCCCTGCTGGGGTCGATTCTGGCAGCAGGTTACGGGTTCGATCAGAAGGTAATGCGGGTAGGAAAGGGGGACCACCTGGGGATCTTTTCGTGATCATAGACGTACGTCCAGATCCCGTGCTGAGGAGGGATGATACAAATATTCTCTACACTTGCAAGGTTTCTTACCTTGATGCAATTCTTGGGACAACAATGAAGGTACCTACTGTTGACGGGATGGTGGATCTCAAGATTCCATCTGGAACCCAGCCGGGGACAACCTTGGTGATGTCGAAGAAAGGTGTACCATACTTGAACAAAAGCAACATGCGGGGTGATCAGCTGGTAAAGGTGCAAGTTGAGATCCCGAAGCGACTCAGCAGCGAAGAAAAGAAGCTTATTGAAGAACTTGCAAACTTGAACAAGGCCAAAACCGCCAATAGTAGCAGTAGAAGATAGTCAGAGCTCAGAAAGTGGAATTGTATTCGCCACATTTTTTCTACACACTCCAGTACCTGGTCGCCCATTTCAGTGGTGCTGTTAGGCATTTTTGTCGTAGATCCTCGTCTATTTGGCAAAGCTGCAACAGCCATTAGCTATAGGAAACATTTTTGGTTTTATTTATTGTATTATTTTGTACTATAGTAAAAGTAGGATTAAGGAAGAAATTAAAGAATGGCCAAAAGGAAGGATGGATCTTCTGTTGGTTTTCATCCATTGGTATGTGTTATAGAATAATTTTCTGAGACAGTGTTATTGAGTAGCAATATAATGTCATCTTAGTTCTGTCTTTGTATTAACTTGCTCGTCTTTTTCCTTTGAGAATTTACGTGATAGAATATATACAGGCTACAAATCCCTATATGGAGTAGTTAGTTCCTCTGTCCCAAAATAACAGTTACTAATATTAATATATTGGACTATTGGAGTCCCTCTTCCTTGAAGGCTGAAAGAGCGAGTATGTTAATATATTGGACTATTGGAGTCCCTCTTCCTTGAAGGCTGAAAGAGCGAGTATGTTAATGTTTGTTTCGTTTTTTTAATGTGTGTGTTTGGGTATTTTTTGTATTAAGAATGTAAAAAAGTATATTAGAAATATAAAAATATATAATGAGATGAGACATTTATTATTTTAATATTATGAAAAAACCATCCAAAAAACAAAACAAACAAAGCCACTCGTTAAGCTAAATGGTGGCATTCTATTTTCGGATTAAAAAAAACAAGAAAAAGGCTTTGCCAGCTCCGGCCTGCCCTTTGCTTGTGGAAGAAATGAAGGTACATACGCAGTAAATTGCTTCAAGTACACATATATAAATTAATTGAACGTTATATTTGGCAAATAAATATCTATCAGAAAATGATAGTACTATTTAATCTCTATATTACAAAATAACATTTGATCAACTTTTTTTTTTTTTTTTTGCTCTTTCATGTTTGTATACGAATTGTGTATACATAATAAAATTAAGGAGTAAATGTTTATTTGTACTGAAAGTAAAATCCAAACTGGACAATAATTGGAGAACAGAGGAAGTTCTACATTACAAACAGCACGAACGGGAACAGATAAACATGTTCGTGTCTGGATTTCCAACTTTCATGACCATGGACAGCAGGCTTCATTAGCAGTTTTTTTAAGCTGTTGGAAGTTGGAAGAGAAACAGAGAAAAGAAAGCAAAAATAAAAACAGATAATGGGGTGAGAGAGGCTCGAACTCTCGACCTCAGGATATCTCAGAAGCTATGAGACCTACGCGCAAGCCAACTGCGCCACCACCCCGATTGTGTTTAATTCAATCAATTTTATTCTCATTACTTGACTCTAGAATTGTACTGATCAGCTTCCCCAGATTCTTGTAAGAAGACCCCCCAGGTTTAACTGCTAGCTCTGCCTTTTCTTTCCAAACCAAAGCCTGCTTCCTCATTTCCCACCCTTTGTCACCATCCATCATTTCTTTCACTGATTCCGCGATGTTTTCCCTGGTGCCATTACTCTCAGTCTCAACCCCGTTCTGCCATTTCGTGCAGGCGTAACGACAATTTGTCGGCTGCTCCGCGAAAAATGGCCAACAGATCATAGGAACTCCACTGGATATACTCTCCAGAGTCGAATTCCATCCGCAATGTGTCAAGAAAACACCTGTGGAGGGGTGAGCTAATACTCGTTCCTGCGCGCACCATCCGGCTAAAATGCCTCTATTTTTAATCTCTTCCAGGAACCCTGATGGTAAAACAGCAGAATCGGCGCTTACTAAATCAGGCCTAATGATCCATAAGAAATGGTGCTTGGAATCAGCGAGTCCCCAGGCAAACTCTTGTAGTTGTTCTGAAGACATAATAGTAATACTTCCAAAGTTCACATAAACCACAGAGTTTGGCTCCCTGTCATTGAGCCAATGCAGACAATCTTCTTCTTCTTTCCACAAGCTAGTAGACAATATTGATTCCATCTTGTTGGTGATTTTGAGTTCTTCTTCAAACAGATGCAGGGGACCTACGGTGTAAACAAGATCAAACTTTGTTCTGATTGCATCAAGAACTTCCTTCTCCAATTCTTCAAATGTATTGATTATGACGGCCTTAGCCCTGGAAGCATTCCTTAGCTGTACAATGTTAAAGTTCAACATGGTATCATCTGGATCAGTTGTCCTAATAAAAGATGGAAGATCTTTTAATCTGATCCCTTTCATCCCAGGAATCCAATCAATACTTGTTTCAAGGTATCCATTAGTAAACCAACTTTGATCTGCTCAAAAAAAATTGGCAGCTTTAAACTACAATCTGAAAAATTGGTTTTTGAATTGAACGAGAAGGGTACAAGAACAACAAAATTAAAAAAAAAAAAAAAAAAGAAAAAGAAAATATACCTTTGAATGGAACATATCCTCTGGCTACAAGTTCAGAATAATGAAGGTATCCCAATACTCCACAAGCACTGGGAGTGAAGAAAACCACTTCAGGAATATTGAGTTGCTCAGCAGCATCTAAAGTGAAACTCATGACTCCATCAGAAACTATACAAGTAACGGGAGGCGAACTCGGAGATTCGTTGAGTCCCTTAATCAGATTGATGAAAGGAACTAAACTGTTATTTGGAATGGATTGGCAAAGTGTAGGTATATCTTGTGATGCTTCCTTACAGGAAGGAGGGAGACCATCAGGAATGGTTTTGAACTGGAAATCCTCAAGGCCCTTAACAAAATCAGGCCCCTGAGCCCGGATAAAGCGCTGGTGATTGAATTCAGTGTTGACAAAAGTGATGTGAAATCCTTTGAAATGAAGAATTTTGGCCAATTTCAGGATGGGGCCAATGTGACCTTGCAGTGGATATGGGATCACCACGGCATGAGGCTTCATTGTTGTTGCTATTAATTTGTTCAAAATTACCTGTATAGTTTTATGTTGCATATATAGGCAGAAGTTGAGAAATGCGTTTTTATATCTCTTTTTGCAGCCTGATAGTGACATTATAGATGACTACTAGAAGTTTGTTGTTTTTTGTTCTTGAGATTTGATGCCAATCTTAATTGCTTATCTACATTGGGTTTGATTACTCTGCAGTCTGCACCCTTATTAGACAAGCAGCGCATATGGTTTTTTTGGTTGTGCTCTTCAATTTGTTTGAGCATGGAATTTCACGCTTCTTCCAATCGAAGAAAGTAGTTCCATAATTCCATTATCCCCTTTATACTCGTAGCTAATTAAGAGAAGTTTGATAGAAATATGTTATTTTCTATGTTCCGTTGTAGATTTTGATGGGGTCATTTCAAGAAATTTATCTAATGGAAGCATATGTAAATGTGGTTGTTTTTGTGATACGGATAGAATAATATAGTAACTATATAAGGTTCAAGTTTGAAGTTTCCATAGTCCTTATTATGAAATGAAAATGGGCTTATTCCCATGTGACATTTACACAAATAAGAGGATTTTGCTACATATTGAGAAATGGTTATTAAACTGATCTGATAATACTCCCTCCGTCTCATAATTATTGTCCACTTTGCCCAAAAAATTTTGTCCCAAAATTATTGTCCAATTTGACTTTTTATAGATCAAATTACACATTTGTCCTTAGTAAAAAACATTATCCATAAAATCTTAGTGGTTAAACAATTACATATGTAGGGGTATATCTGGTTGTTTAAGGTAAAATATAGTTAAGTTTGACCAAAAATAAAATCTTTCATTTTAGTAAAACTGGACAATAATTATGGGACGGAGGGAGTAATATTGATATTACATTTACCGCTCTAGTGTTTTTAAGAACCATAAATCGAGAATGTTTGAAAACTATTGATTGGCTAGCTATCATCATGAGTTGGGATTTTTTTTTTTTTAAATAAAAAAGTTTGAAAATCGCTAAATGTCAGGACCAAAACTGAGGATGTCAACATGCTAATGTTTGGTTCCTGATGGTCAAATCTTAATTGTGACGGCAAAGGGATTTTTTTTTTGATTAAGTATTTTTTGTTAGGTTGTCATTGAAGTCAAGGATTCAGACATATATCATATACTACCTTTGTCTACAAAATAGTCTTCTTGAATTTTGAAATTTGTCTATTATATTTAGAAAAAAATCTCAAAACTTTATGTGAATAATTCTTTCCATGCAGAGAAAATATATGATGTTAATCCAAGAAAATAAAGCCACAAAGTTGAGCGCAGGTTTGCAAATATCTGATTAAATATGAAACATGATGACATCTTTTCTTTTCTTTTTTGTTTTTTTTTTTTTGGGGGGTGGGTTGTGGGAGGTGGATTTTTTTTTCCCAAAGGTAAATGGAAAAGTTTGCTCTTAATCCATTGTTCAGGGTACGCAAAGATAATGTCAAGAGTTAATGGTTCATTCCAACTTCAGAAAAAGAAAACTAGCCTAACCCTTTTCTCAAACGATAGTGTGTTTCATTTCTTTTGGTCCAGTCTCAGTCTCCAGACTTACATAAATCTATTCTAGTTTCCAAAATTACAAAAAGAAAGAAAAAAGAATACTAATGAGACAATTTCATAGTTCATATTCCATCTATACCAAAATAATTATCATGTTTTTATTTCTTATATTAAAATATTATACTAACAAGTAACAAATAGTAAGTTCATTATTATGGACGGCCTGAGTATGATAAAGAATAGGGTATGGAGTCTCAGAAGTCAGAAGTCAGACCTGACCAATTGGGAAGAGACCAAAATAATATAAAAGGAGGAGGCAAATTTGTCTTGTTATTGGCTGGTTTAAGCATATTAATATTATCCTTGGAGAGTGGAGCATTTGGGCAATCAGCATCTTCTCCTTACATATTTTTCCAAAAACAACTAATTTGCCTGACTATAAATCTTATCATCCATCCCATTCTTCGGAGACAACAACAATGGAGTCCTCCTCAAGTACTAGGAAACCTCATGCAGTTTGCATCCCACTTCCAGCTCAAGGTCACATTAATCCCATGTTAAAGCTTGCTAAACTTCTCCATTCTGCCGGATTCTCTATCACTTTTGTCCACACAGAGTTCAACTACAACAGATTGGTCAATTCTAACAAGGATTCCTCATCATCAGCTGATTCCATAACCATTTCGGATGATTTTCGATTCGAAACCGTTGTGGATGGTCTGCCCTCATCTAACCAAAGGGGCATACTGGACCTTCCTGATTTATGTATATCAATGCCTGTTCACCTCAAGCAATCTTTCAGACAACTCCTGACAAAGCTCAACTCTTCCCCTGATGTTCCTCCAGTTTCCTGCGTGGTTTCTGATGGAGTGATGAGCTACACCTTAGAAGTAGCTCAAGAATTCGGAGTCCCGGAAATTCTGTCCTTTACACCTAGTGCTTGTGGTATGTTAGGCTATCTTCAATACGAAGAACTCAAGAAAAGAGGATATTTTCCCTTGAAAGGTGTGTCATTTTTTTAAAAATCATAATGTAACTTGACTGCAAAATTGTCTAGCCTTTTGATATTATCTAGGTTTAGTGATATGTTTTATCACCAATCTGCAGATGAGAGCTTCTTAACCAATGGATATCTTGAAACTGAGCTTGATTGGATTCCGGAAATGCAAGGAATTCGCTTAAAACATCTACCATCATTCTGTCAAACAACCAATCCTGAAGATGTAATGTTCAACTACAATTTAGAGTCGGTGCAAAATGCGCTGAAGACGAAAAGCATGATTCTCAACTCCTTTGAAGAACTAGAGCAAGAAGTTTTAGATGCCATCAGAGAAAAGTTCCCGAATTTGTACACAATCGGGCCGTTACAGATGCTTGAACGACAACTCTGTGGAGGGAAGCTGGATTCAGTCAACTCCAGCTTGTGGAAACAGGAAACAGGATGCCTGGAATGGTTGGATAAGAAGGATCCAGGGACAGTTGTGTATGTGAACTTTGGAAGTTTAGTGATTTTGACCCCTGATCAATTAAAAGAGTTTGCTTGGGGACTGGCCAATAGCAGATATTCTTTTTTGTGGGTGATTAGGCCTAATTTGGTGAATGGTGGAACTGATGTCATATCCCATGATTTCTTGAATGAAGTTAATGACAGAGGACTTCTGATTGATTGGTGCCTACAAGAGAAAGTCCTAGGCCATCCTTCAGTTGGCGGATTTTTAACGCATTGTGGTTGGAATTCAACGTTGGAGAGCATTTGTGCAGGCGTGCCAATGATTTGTTGGCCATTCTTTGGAGAACAACATATGAATAGTCTTTATATTTGTACTAAGTGGGGAATTGGAATGGAGATTGATAGTAAAGTTGACAGAATCCAAGTTGAGGGACTTGTCAGGGAACTAATGGAGGGAAATGAAGGGAAAGAGATTAAGAAAAAGATAATGGAGTGGCAGAAGAAAGCAGAAATTGCTACAAAGCCTGGTGGTACCTCATTCAATAGTTTCCAGTTGTTGGTAAATCGCTTAGCCGGAAAATCTCAGATCAAAAAGGCTTAGCACATTCACTCTGTTCTAATAATTTGACTGTGTTCTTGTGATCGCATTTCGCTTTCATCTGGTGGTAGTAACTGAGCATCTATCTAATTACAAAAGGTCGACTATGAAGATTTCATATAGCTATCAGTTTTTGTCAACACATAAACTTTGAATCAACTAATAATTTAGATAAAGAAGAACATCTTGTTTTCGATACAAAACAATAACAATCTCAAGAGACAAACTAATGCCTGCTTAACATTTCTGCCACTAATTTGTCAATGTTCAAGTATGACGAACCATTTGAAGTAGTAGTGGCGTCTGCAGCTTTGTTCTTCCATATGAGAGCATCACTCTTCAACTGTTTCCCTTTCTCTCCATCAATCAATTCCGTAACAGCATTTGCTACATCAACCCTATTGACATTACTATCAATCTCCAAGCCAACACCCCATTCAGCGCAAGCGAACCTACAATTGATATGCTGATCGGCGAAAAAAGGCCAACAAATCATTGGCACACCGCTGGCTAAGCTTTCCATCATTGAATTCCATCCGCAATGCGTTAAGAATGTTCCAATAGAGGGATGGTTAAGAACTTGCTCTTGCGGGCACCATGTGACGATTAGGCCTCTCTCTTTTGTTTCCTCATAAAACTCAAATGGTAAATTCACATTGCAATCTCCCTTAACTGCATCTGGCCTTAGTGTCCAAAGGAAGTCTTTTTTGCTGTCAGCCAATCCCCAAGCAAACTCAACCAGCTGTTCCGGAGTCAAGACTGTAATGCTACCGAAATTAACATACACCACAGAATTGGGAGCTCTGGAGTTGAGCCATTTCAGGCTTTCCAGGTCTTCTTTCCAAAGGCTTCCTCCAATGGACTTAAGACTGTTTTGTGGAAGCTGATTGATGATTGAATGAAGAGGGCCAATTGTGTAGATTGGAGGGCAGGTTCGCGATAGATCGGCCAAGACATCACGTTCGAGCTCATCGAAGGTGTTGAATATCAAGGCATCAGCTTTTGAAGCCTCTAGCACTTGTGTCATTATGAAGTCTAGCATCTCATTTGAATCATTTGTCCTTGTATAAGTAGGGAGATCTCTGAGTCGAACATTTTTCAGTGATGGAATCCAATCTAGTGTAGATTCTAAGTAACCATTTGTTAAGAAAGTTGAATCTGCAAATAAAAAACACAGAATCACATTTTGATTATGCCAAAACTAGACCCCAGAAAAGGGAGTGATAACTTACAGTAGATTCTCCAATAAATGAATCAATGTTAAGAACATTCAAGGAGATGTGCTTTGTATTTTTACCTTTGAGAGGTAAGATTTCTTTTTGTATCAATGCTGGAAAGTTTCTGTAGGCAAAGAAGCAGGAAGCATTGGTAGTCCTTAAACAAAAGATGGGAACTCCTACTTCTCGAGCGGCTTTTATAGCGAACCACATGGCGGTATCCGAAACCACACAACTAACCGGAGGCGATCCGTCCAATGAATTGAGCTTCCTGAGAAGTGCAAGAAATGGAGCCAAGCAATTCTTAGTTGTTGAATCACAAAGAGATGGTAGGTCTTGGGTGGTATCCTCAGCCGCGGCCGGCGGAAGCCCATCTGTGATTGTCTCGAACCTGAAACCAGGAACGCCATTCAAAGAGTCAGGTCCTCTGGATTTGAGCAGGCGCCTGTGGTTGTATTCTGTGTTGACAAAAGTTATATGGAAGCCTTTGCTGTGAAGAAGTTTGGCCAATTTAATCATTGGGTTAATGTGACCTTGAGCTGGAAATGGAAGACACACAGCATGAGGCTTATTACTGATAACCTTCTTCTCATCTTTTTGATGATTGGATTCTGTTTCTGAAACTGAACTCATGCTTTAGGACTCAGAGAAGATGATTTTGGCCTATTTAGTAGTGTTTGATGTATCCTGGAATTCTGGAACTTTCGGTTTATGGAGCTGTAACTTTAAGGTTTCAACAACTTTAACAATTTAATGACATAAATAATTCGCATATCATATTCTGCATTAAACAATCTGGAACAAAAGCATTGGATGCGTCAGGCGATATACTCTATGTTGAGTAATGAATCCGCAATGACTTGGACTTTTTTCAAAGGTTGATGGCACATGTGATAGTCTTATTTTATGCTTTTAACTGCAGTTTAATTCGAACACGAGGCCGAGAATATTGTAATACTCCTCTGTTTCAATACTATTGTCCCAACCATTTTCATCGTTTCTGTTATCAACCATTTCTACAGTTTTTCAATACTAGTGATAATGCCTTTTGTTTCGAAATTGATACAAGAACCTGAATCTATCTGTTTTAAGTTTTTGATAGCTGATCCATGCGTTTGATCAGATTATCAAAGTTGATAACTGATGAACCATCAAGCTCTGTAGCCTCCTCTGCTTTCCTCTTCCATTCTAAAGCTTTCCTCTTCATCTCTTTCCCTTTCTCCCCTTCCATCAACTCTCTCACGAGACTTTCCACTTCGTTTCTTTTCACATTCACACTAATCTCCATTCCCACGCCCCATTCTGAGCAGGCGCAACGACAATTGATCGTCTGGTCAGCAAAGAATGGCCAACATATAATGGGCACACCGAAAGACAGGCTTTCCAACATCGAGTTCCAACCACAATGCGTCAAGAACCCTGCAATGGAAGGATGTTTCAGCACTTGCTCCTGAGGGCACCAGCCCGATATGTTACCTCTCTCTCTCGTTGCATCGACGAATTCAGGCGGTAGTACAGCGGAATCTCCGACAACAAGATCCGGCCTAATTATCCACAGGAAGTTTTGGTTGCTATTCGCAAGCCCCCATGCGAACTCCAGCAGCTGTTCAGGTGTCAAAACAGTGATGCTGCCAAAATTGACATAAATTACCGAATTAGCTTCTTTTGTGCTGAGCCATTGGATGCACTCTGACTCTTCTTTCCACAAATTGGATGCAATGGAATCATATCTATCTTGTGGGAGGCGATTGGTTAAATGGTGAAGAGGACCAACTGTGTAGAATGGAGGGCCACCCATGCTTGCGAGTGCATTTAGCACATTTGATTCCATGGAATCAAATGTGTTTATGATGATTCCAAATGATTTAGAAGCTCTCCCTGGCTCTGTGATGCAAAACTTTAGCATCTTGTTTCCAGGATCTGTTGTCCGGATGAAAGTCGGAAAGTCCCTGAGACTAATCGCCGGCATCCCCGGCAGCCAATCTATGATGGTGGCATCTAAATATCCGTTTGTCAGATAGCTTTCATCTGATCAAAGGTACATCAAACCGAAAATTTACATCAATTTAAATTCTAATAGAACACCAAAAAAAGACCCTTTACACACAATCAATCATTTGATCAGATAAAGTTGAAATCGAAAAGGAAGGGACAAAAAGGTGTAACCTTTAAGAGGTATAAGACCCTTTTCCACGAGTTTTCCGACGTGTCTATAACACATTAAACTGGTGGCGCTGGCCGTCCGGAACAGGAAACCGGGAATACCGGCTTCAATGGCGGCATCAAGAGCGAAAGTCATGATAACATCGGAAATCAGACAAGTTACAGGCGGGCCTGAATCGTTCAGTTTCTTAATCAATTCCCGAAGTGGGTCTAAACTACCCTTGGGAGACGTAAGGCAGAGCTCGACCACATCTTGAGTCTTCTCGGCGGCATCATTGGCGGTGGCGAGGCCGTCCGGGACCGTTTCGTAACGGAAACCCGGCAAGCCGTCGAGGTAGCTGGGACCCCTGGATTTGAGTAGACGGCGGTGGTTGTATTCGGTGTTGACGAAGGTGATGTGGAAGCCGCGGTGGTGGTGTAGGAGGACGGCGAGTTTGAGCATTGGGTTGATGTGTCCTTGAGCCGGGAATGGCAAGCACAGCGCGTGTCGTTGTGGCTGATTCCGGTGAATTTCCGTAACGGATTCCATGGAAAAAGGAATTTTTTTTCCCGGTGGATCTTGGAAAGATGATGATGGGTCAGAGTTGAATTCAGAGAAAGTAGTGAATGAGAAAGACTGGGAATGAAAAAGAAGATTCCGACATGCAGTTTTGGGGAGAAAGCTGCAGCCACTTAAAAATCAGACTACAAAACAAACGATTTTTATTTCTTTTTTTTTTTTTAATTAATTGGAAGATCTTTTCCCCTATTTGTCCACATTGCACGAAAGTCTTTCCGGTCAAACCTTTTTATGATTTATCATTATTTTTTTCTATTATTTTCCTTTTGTCATCTCAATATACTCATAATCACATTAGTTATTCATAGGTACGTATCATTCTTTTTCTTTCATTTTCCTCTTTCATCTAAACATTCCATTTTGCTCGCTTGACAAAATTCGTAAAATTTGTTACGCTAATAAAGTAATAACAAATATACATGGCTCGAACAATATGACTTACTAGTAACTATTTCTTAGAGAAATAAATATAAATAAAAAGAATTTATTAAAAAATGTAATACATCTATTGTAAAAATTAATACTCATTCTGTTTTAAAATAATTGTCTACATTATATTTTTTCATTTTAGTTATATTTGTTTAAAAGTGTACATGTGAACATGAAAATCCTTTTTTGACAAAGGGAGTATGTGAATATCTACGGTCCCCAAAAAAGATGCCCGTTGAATGTAAACTTTTCTTTTCGATGTAAGAAATATACTGCTCCCTTCGTCCTAAAATTATTGTCCAGTTTGGATTTTTATTTTTAGTTCAAATTGTACTAAAAGTGAAATCTCAAACTGGACAATAATTTTGGGACAGAGGGAGTAATAAACTATAATTTATATCCTTTTTCTGTGAAAATATAGTTTATATCGTATCAAAAAAACAAAAAAAAAAGAAACTTATTGGTATCGTAATGGCCAAAGAAAGTGAATAAATTTATTATTCAACAATCAGCATCGTAGCCATACGTCCGAGTCCGTATCCAGTGCACCCGAGTATACCGTATACCCCCACCAAACACACGCGCTACACATGCTTAACATTTTTCACCTTTACATTAAATGCACAAACAAAATTGTTTTCATCCATTTTACTGTTTTCATCCTCACGCACAAATACACACAATTGCTGGTTATCCATAACTTATCCACAAGTTGTAAACTGGTTATCCAGAAGGTGTAAACTGGTTATCCAGAAGGTGTAAATTGGTTATCCACAAGTTGTAAACTGGTTATCCAGAGGTAAAGAAGCAAACGACATGTTAATTGGGGGGCAAACTACCGGAATCACAGGTCACCAACCTGCCCCGGCTGCGCCGCTCCGCCGAACACGCCAATGTAGCTAAGGTAATCCTTTTTTCGTGTGTGTGTAAGGAGAGTGTGTTATTGCGTTAAGAGGGGACACAAATTACTTGTATAAATCCCCCCGTGATAAACTAAACGACCCGGCTGCACCGGTGCCCGCGGCTGCACCGCTCTCCCTGCCGAACACGGTAAGTTTCATAAATAGTATTTAATTGAATAAGGGGCATTTTACCAAATGATGGAGAACAAAAAATGAATGAGGGGCAGTTTGCCAAATGATGGAAATAAAGTACATTCAATTGTGTATAACTAATTATCCATATTGTCAATACTAGTTATCCAACTGCGTATAACTAATTATCCATAGTGCCAACACTTGTTATCCACATTGTAAACACTGGTTGTCCATAGTGTGTAGCTGGTTATCCATAGTGTGCACACTGGTTATCCAGCTATGTTTAACTAGTTATCCATAATGTGCACACTGGTTATCTAGCTATGTTTAACTAGTTATCCATAATGTACACACTGGTTATCCACAGTGTCAATACTGGATACTCCATCACAAAGTTTTTAAAATTTGAATGAATTCGGTAATTTATATATGCCGCGTTTAAAAAAAGAAAAGAAAAAGAAAGCTGAATTATCTAGTAAGCTCGCGCTATTCTAAGAGAGTAAAGTACACGCGCAAGGAGGTACACGGTGCCCCCGGGTGTACCAGATAATTTGCCCCATACGTTCACCAAATGTTTAATGTAGGAAACAAAAAAGACCCAAAACCAAAGGAAAAGGGTAGGAATATCGACACAGCTTGAATAATCCAAGCAGGTAAGGTCATCTAAGCCTCTAAGGTGATGATGTATACTCCGCTTGATTGGGATATTCTTTTTGTCCCATTTTCACAATTTGTTTTTTAAATTGAAGTACTCCCTCCGTCTCATAATTATTGTTCACTTTGCTCAAAAAATTTTATCTTAAAATTATTGTCCAATTTGACTTTTTATGGATCAATTTACACATTTGTCCTTAGTAAAAAACATTATCCATAAAATCTTAGTGGTTAAATAATTACTTATGTAGGGGTATATCCGGTTGTTTAAGGTAAAATATAATTAAGTTTGACCAAAAATAAAATCTTTCATTTTAGTAAAACTGGACAATAATTATGTGACGGAGGGAGTATTACAAACTGCATAATTGTTTTTTTTTAAAATAAGAAGAAGAAGAAGAAGAAGAAGAAGAAATGAGTAAAATATAAAACAATAAAATAACATATCGACCAAAAAAAAAAAAAAAAACAATAAAATAACATCACCGCATGCGCCATCAACCATGTCTCATCAGTGCCGCCAAAAATGTACCAGTCTCCCGCCACACACATCCAATATTCTGCTTAGCAAAACTTAGCTCCAAATCGATAATTACTCAAACATAAAGCGATTCATCTAATATGTTCATTGAAGTGACATGTTGATAAAACTCACAGCTTTATACAGTAGGCCATAAATCATAAACTCTGTTTCAGAGAACAAAAGAATGAATTCATCAGTTGTAGAATCAGAAACCAAATGTGAAATCAATAAGAAGCAGCCTCATGCTGTGTGTATTCCATTTCCAGCTCAGGGACACATAAATCCCATGATCGAACTAGCCAAACTTCTTCACAGCAAAGGCTTCCGCATCACTTTTGTCAACACAGAGTACAACCACCGGCGGCTACTCAAATCCAGAGGACCCGGATCTTTAGATGGCTTTCCTGGCTTCAGATTCCAGTCAATCCCAGATGGGCTTCCTCCTCCGGTTGCGGCTGAGGACGGTGGAGGCAGTGCCGGAGATTCCACTCAGGATATCCCATCTCTTTGTGATTCAACCGCTAAGAATTTCTTGGCTCCCTTTCTTGCACTCCTCAAGAAGCTTAACTCGCCGGCGAGTTGTGTAGTTTGTGATGCCATCATGTGTTTTGCTATTGATGCCGCTCGGGAAATTGGTGTTCCCGGGTATTGTTTCCGGACTACCTGCGCCGCCTCCTTCTTCGCCAACCGAAATCTGCCCGGTTTGATACAAAAAGGAATCTTGCCTCTCAAAGGTGAGCTTAATTTCCTTGAAGTTCTTTGTTACAAAATTTTTAAATTTCCCTTTTGAACAAAATTGAGTTGCTGGTTCTTATTCAGATTCAGCTTGCTTAACAAATGGTTACTTGGAGTCCCGATTAGATTGGATACCGCCGCTAAAAAATGTTCGCCTGAGGGATCTCGCTACCTTTATAAGAACAACTGATCTAAACGATGTGATGCTGAACTTCATCATTTCACAAGCGCAAGAGGTTTCAAAAGCATCAGGCATAATATTCAACACTTTTGACGATCTTGAAAATGAAGTATTGGCTGATCTGTCTTTAATCTGCCCTCCAATTTACACCTTTGGCCCTGTTCATTTCCTCATCAATCAGCATCCACAAAACAAAAGTCTAAACTCCCTTGGAGGAAGCCTCTGGAAAGAAGACCAGGAATGCCTGGAATGGTTATACTCCAGAGCTCGAAACTCGGTGGTGTATGTGAACTTTGGTAGCATCACGGTCCTGACTCCGCAGCAATTAGTAGAGTTTGCCTGGGGATTGGCTGACAGCAAAAAGGATTTCCTGTGGGCAATTAGACCGGATGCAGTTACGGGAGATTGTAAAGTGAATTTGCCATCGGAATTTTTCGAGGAAACAGAACAGAGAGGCCTGATTGTGAAATGGTGCCCTCAAGAACAAGTGCTTAACCATCCTGCCATTGGAGCTTTCTTAACTCATTGTGGATGGAATTCTATGCTGGAAAGCATAGCCAGTGGCGTGCCGATGATTTGCTGGCCATTTTTCGCGGATCAGCAAATCAATTGTAGGTTTGCTTGTGTTGAGTGGGGTGTTGGCTTGGAGATTGATAGTAATGTCAACAGAGTTGAAGTGGCCAAGGCTGTAACAGAATTGATTGATGGAGAAAAGGGGAAGCAATTGAAGACTAATGCCATCAAATGGAAGAACAAGGCAGCAGAAGCCACCAGTTCTGTAAATGGTTCTTCATACTTGAACTTGGACAAATTAGTTGCACATATGTTAAGCAAGCAATAGGTTATTTGTTGAGACTGTTTTTTTGTTCCATGTCAATAATTCTTGCTTTAGTGTCATTTATTTTCTGAAATTAGATCACTGTAGAAGAGTTAGAAATGTCTCTTCCTCTTCTTTTTTTTTTTTTTTTTTTTCCATGTTTTTCGTTATTCAAAAATGATTACTGAAAAATTCTGCCTGTGGTACCGGTGAACTTGTGATTATATAACCTAACAGAAAATTGGTGGTATAAATATAAATGCATGAAGTGCGTGACATGAAGCGTAACACCAAAAGTTTACAAGCAATCCGATCCACAATAATGATGTCTCTCCTGATCATAAAATTTCTTCGTCCGTAGTACTGTATACACTCTTGTGATTAATAATGTAACATCCGTTTGTCCAAAAAATAATCTATTTTGAGTTTTGAAATTTATATTAAATTTTTTTTTACAAATTTAAAAATTCAAAATGAACGTTTTTTCAAGCGCAGAGGGACTATATATAAGGGAAACAATTGCAGGACTGAATCTTCCTTTAAGATCTCTTGCAATATATAATAACCAAACACCACAATTATTATTTGCAACATCTTTGAGACGTAACTTTAATCAACTGTCGGCACATAAGTAATCATATGGGATTAATTAGGCAGAAGATGCTCCTTGAACAGTCTGTCCAAATTCTGGTAGGAAGATCCATCAGGCTCTACAGCTGCTTCTGCTTTCTTCTTCCATTCCAAGGCTTTCTTCCTCATCATCTCTCCCTTCTCGCCATCGATTAGCTCTCTCACAAGAACCTCCACTTCATCCCTCTTCACATCACTGTTAATTTCCATCCCAATTCCCCATTCTTTACAACTGTACAGGCAATTTGTGTGCTGTTCAGCATAGAAAGGCCAGCAGATGATGGGCACCCCGCCACAAATGCTTTCTAAAGTTGAGTTCCATCCGCTATGTGTTAAGAACCCTCCAACTGCGGGATGATTCAGAACCTGTTCTTGTGAGCACCAGCTTATTAACATGCCTCTTTCTTTAGTTTCAGTCACGAATTCTGGCGAAAGCATTGCAGATTCGCCGACAACTATATCAGGCCTAATGATCCATAAAAATGGTTTCTTGCTGTTTGCGAGTCCCCATGCAAACTCAGTGAGTTGATGTGCAGTCATCACGGCAATGCTCCCGAAGTTTACATAAACAACCGAGTTCGGTTCTTTTGTATTTAACCATTCAATGTAGCCTGAATCTTCTTTCCAGAGATTTGAGCCAATGGATTTCAGTCTCTCATCTTTGATACTTTTGAGCAAGAAATCCAATGGACCAATGCTGTAAATAGGCGGATAGAGTGCAGAAAGAGCATTTAGCTCATGACGCTCCAAGTCATCAAATGTGTTCAAGATCAGAGCCCTTGATTCAGAGAGATTTACAACTTCCGCCATCACTAAATTGAACATAAGATCATCTGCTGATGTTGTTCGTAAGAAACTTGGGAGATCCCTCAAAGTTATTTTATCTTTTACTCCTGGAATCCAATCAACTTCTGTTTCCAAATATCCACTTGTTACATCAGTCATATCTGAACAAATTAAGAGAATACAACTTAAAATTAGAACAAAACAGAACAGTTCAATTAATGGGAAAAAAACTACTCCTTCTGTCCCAAAATCATTGTCCAGTTTGGGCACTCATTTTTAATTCATTTTGTACTAAAAATGAATATCCAAACTGTACAATAATTTTGGGATGGAGGGAGTATAACAAATAAAGGAAAATCAGTACTCTCCCATCTCATGCATGACTATTGTGATTAGACGTATAGTCGTCTAGGAGGTCCACTTATATAATTGTGCCTTATGAGACTGAGAAATACAATGTACATACCTTTTAGTGGTATGTACCCCCTTTCATACAGGCGGCGATATTGAGCATAGCCCAACAAGCCACAAGCACTTGTAGTCCAGAAAATCACTTCAGGAAGGCCAAACTTTTCAGCAGCTTTGAGGGTGAAACTCATTACCCCGCCAGAAACTATGCAAGAAACCGGAGGGGTTTCAGGGACCACATTCTTCAGCTTGGAAAGAAGGCTACAGAAAGGGGCTAAGCAATTTTTGGAGGTGGAATCAATAAGGGAAGGGATATCTTGCGTAGAGTTAGCATCGGAAGGAGGCAGGCCATCAGGGATGGTCTCAAATTTGAAATCAGGCAAGCCATCCAGAGAGTTTGGTCCCCTGGATTTGAGCAGGCGTCTGTGATTGTGTTCTGTGTTGACAAAGGTGATGTAAAATCCCCTGTGATGAAGAATCTTAGCTAGTTTTAGCATTGGGCTAATGTGGCCCTGAGCTGGAAATGGTATGCAAACTGCATGAGGCTTTTTGGTTGCTTCAAGGGAACCCATGATTTATGATAGATTTTCTCAAGCGATGATAAGATGTTTTGCACCTGAGATGTGAAATGATACGCCTATTTATAGCAAGAAATCATGAACTTGCATTTACTTGCAGTACTTCTTCCAAAATGGGAAACAATTCAATATAACAAAGAGAAACTGGGTCATAATCGAATTAATTTATGTGGGATTTCTGACTGCTCCTTGGTGGTGAAAATTGGTTGATACCTGCATTTATTCATGATGCCAATAATGGTTTTCAACTACTGAGATTAATTAAAACCACGAGTTGCGTTCAGCAAAAAAAAAAAAAAAAAAAAAACCACGAGTTGCATGGTGGATTTTTGAACATCTTGTTACAGCTGCAGTTGCTCCAATTTGACGTAGAATTTAATCATCAATAAGTCTGACGAAGCCTGGAATTGCGCCTCCGGCTTGGTGGTGGAACTCCGATTAGGATTTCTTGTAAAACAGAGCCTCGGAGCCTCCGAGGGTAGATACTTCGAAGCTTAAGTCAGAAAATAGGGTTGCGAAATAGTGTGTATATGTGAATTGGTGCTAGAGATAGTGTACATGGAGTAATCATCTCTATTTATAGGCCTTAAAAGTATCCAAATATTACTAGGTTTAGTAATATTAAACCGCCGACTTCACAGTCGGTCGGACCTTGGACGGGGTGATTGGGCCGATCCATGTCGAGTGGTAGATATGGACTCGTCAAAGTCTTTGAGAGTTACAGTTCTCAAAAACAATCAGGCAAACAGCTCAACTTGAAGCATCGCTTGTTTACTGAAACAAAACATGATTGCATTATACGGTGACGTTCACAACGTGAATCACGGTTTTTTGTTTTTTTTTTAGCTTATCATTGAGGATAACTTATCTTTGACAATTGAAATAAATGCTGAAAACAACACTATACTGACCAATGTTTATTAATTCATTATTTTGTTGTTTCAATCATCAACAACTTGTTAATTTGCCCACACCAGATATCAAGTGGGATGGGGTATCACCTTATTCAACGATGAACAAGATAATACCACAATGATAAGACCACCAAGTATTCCAGAATTTTAATGGGAAAAAACTCATTGAAAAAATGAAGACAGGTTGAGGGATTGCTTCTATAAAACTATACAAAGATACATCTTGCATTCCAATTGCGCACAGAGCAAGCAAGAAAAATGGGTTCAGTTGAAGTAAACGAAAAGCTTCATGTTGTGATCATTCCAGCTCCATTTCAGGGGCACATTAACCCTATGCTTAAACTAGCCAAAATTCTTAATCACAGAGGTTTTTACATAACCTTTGTCAACACTGAGTACAACCACAAACGCTTGCTCAGATCCAGGGGACCTAATTCCCTGGATGGTTTGCCTGATTTCAAATTCGTGACCATCCCGGATGGTCTGCCTCCCTCAGATGCTGATTCAACCCAGGATATACCATCTCTTTTGGATTCCATATCCAAAACCGGCATCGTCCCTTTTAATGCTCTTCTTTCTAAGCTTAAAAACTCTGTCCCGGATATTCCTCCGGTATCTTGCATAGCCTCTGATTGTGCAATGTTCTTCACTCTTGAAGCTGCTGAACAATTTGGTCTCCCAGTAGTGTTTTTCTGGACGGCAAGTGCTTGTGGCTTCTTGGGGTATACCCAATATCGCCACTTAATTGAAAAGGGATACACTCCTCTAAAAGGTACTACTAGATCTGCTGTTTGCATTGTCTTGTCTTTATTTTGTTCTTTCTTGATCTCATGCAAATGTTGAAGTTCTTCCTTGATTTCAATGATTAAATCAGTCCATTCAGACGAGTCTTATAGTAAGTTCTTTGATATGCAGACATGAATCAGATGTTCAATGGATATTTGGAAACAAAAATTGACTGGATTCCTGGAATGAAACACGATATAAGATTGAGGGATCTTCCAAGCTTCATCAGAACCACATCCCGGGATGATTTTATGCTGAATTACCTGATGACTGGATGCGAGAGAATTTCAAAAGGGAGGGCTGTGCTGTTGAACACCTTTGACGAGTTGGAGCAGGATTCCCTGAATGCTCTGTCCGCCATGTATTCAGATGTTCTCAGCATTGGACCATTGCCATTAGTACTCAATCAAATTCAGGACGAGGAGAAACTTCAATCCATCCATTCAAATCTCTGGAAAGAAGAACCAGGCTGTATCGGATGGCTCGACACGAAAGAACCCAACTCTGTAGTCTATGTGAATTTCGGCAGTATCACTGTGATGAGTGCTCAGCAACTCACAGAATTCGCCTGGGGACTTGCCAACAGCAAGAAACCATTTTTATGGATCATCAGGCCCGATATAGTGGCCGGCGATAACGCAATGGTGCCACCGGATTTCTTAGCGGAAACTAAAGAAAGAAGTATGCTGGCAAGCTGGTGCTCACAAGAGCAAGTCCTGAATCACCCTGCCATTGGAGGGTTCTTAACACACAGCGGATGGAACTCCACCCTGGAAAGTATTTGTGGCGGAGTCCCGATGATATGCTGGCCGTTCTTTGCTGATCAGCAGACAAATTGTAGATACAGCTGCGCGGAATGGGGAATTGGGATGGAGATTGACAACAACGTGAAGAGGGATGAGATTGAGGTGCAAGTGAGAGAGCTGATGGATGGTGAAAAGGGGAAAAGAATGAGGGAAAAAGCTCTGGAATGGAAGAGCAAAGCAGGAGCAGCCATAACAGGACCAGGTGGATCCTCTTGCCAGGATTTGGAGAAGCTTTTCAAAGAGATTCTCGAGTCCAATTCAGTCTGATAATTATCTGAATTTGGTGCAATTGGTTATTTAATTTGACGAAAGACTTCTTTTGCGACACATGAAAATTAATGATTGGTTGTGTACTTGACTTTTTCTGCATCTGATTAGGCAACCTGGTGATTTTGATTTGCTTTGGATTAGGTTGAGTGCGATCATCAACTAAAACCTACTAGTTATAATGAAATCCTTTGAACACATGATCATTATACCCCATTTATAATGACTAGTTCTGTTATCGTCGCCTACGTGCGACCAGTTCTTATTTTGAGGTGAGAAGGGAACAATTGTTTAATAACAGTATGTATTAGTACTAATGATTGTTGCCACAGAAGATTATAGAGATTTACTAACAAAGGAAGATTGAATCAATTTTAACAAAAAGCAACTCATCTCAGGAGGTTTTTGTATAACCAACAAGACACCGCACATGCTGTATCTTGTTCACTACCACATTTTATTTGCCGCACATTTTATTATCTACTGATTCTTAGTTTTCCTAATCTTCAACAAAATCAGAGCATAAATGAGTTTACATAAGTTGCTTCATTAAGCTATCGCATATAAGCGATACAACTGAGCATAGAACAAATCACAAATGATTCATACAACAAGCGAGCTTTCTGATTCATTAGCTTCTGATCATCTTAATAAAAAGGTTCCTTGCTCGCCGTTTCTAACTTCTTGCACAATACATAATGAATTTGGCTATGGATAGTAGTTAGATAAATCCTAATGCTTGGTAATTTCAAGAATGCAGTCTCTAGATTTAAAAGAACTCCTAAGCTGGTAAACAACAACACAAGCATGACTACTATTTTCTACGAATTCTGCATGATAAGCTTGGGAGGGAGGAGGGGGTAGTGGGTTTATCTATAACAAAATGTATGAGAACACAGTGACAAAATGTTCATCATAAAAAAGCCAAATTAATATAATATAGATGTATCAAAAAGTGTTCATCATATCAAAATCCTAGCATTAACTTCTACTACCGGAGAATGGCTCGCACCGGAGATCCCACCACCACAAACACTGGTTGTTGATAGCACCCCGATCACATGGATGGCGGTTTGCGATCGGAGATTCCACCACCACTGCCGTCACCGGCTAACCAGTTCAACACACTTAATCCCCCATCTTCAACCCAAACCCTAACCCCAACCCCAACCCCAACCCCAATTATTGGCTGCACCTCCAACTCCAATCTTAAATCTGCCGATTACATTTATGGTTATGAAAAATTGGAGAAAATTTTGGATTGAAAGTTTGAGAGAAAACGTCGTCGTTTACCCCGCTAATGACATATTTGGTTGGAAAAAAAGAAAATTTAACTTTATTAATTTACCATTGTAGCCTTGTTTTAAATTGCTGATGTCATTGCTAATATATTAACCAATCAAAAGGTTCAATTTAAAATTGATAATGTCATATGAACTAATGGGCCAATCAGAATGCTCAATTTAATTTCTGACCAATCACGTTCAAGATTCTAAACTCAATAAAAGACATTTATAGATAAATTAAAAAGTATGAATTCTTATATCGATTACTCTGTATTGGAAAAATAATTAAAATGATCATTCAGCTAAATATTACCCGGTTATTTTTATTTTTATTTTTTTTGATGAAAGGTTAATTTGTATTAACTTCTCAAAACAGAGGCAACATTTTACACTTTCACATCTCTACTTCAATATTACATCAATTTTCCTTGTAATGTCATAAGCCTATTCTGTCAAAATATCTTCTTTCTCCCTGTCTCATTTTCCTACTACACATATTGAATTTGAAACTCCATTTCATATTAACAGGTCTGCAATCTTGTCCATGATGCACATTATTCATCATTTGCCAAATATAGTAAACAGCAGCTGCCGAAGTACCATAAAGCATTTTTTTTTCCTTCCATTTACTTGGAGCCCATATTTGCAGCAGTCTATTCTTCCACAGACCAATCTGATCAGGTCAATAATTTACCGGATCATATTCCCAAGCCAATAATTTAATAAATCATAAAGTTATTTTATTGGTGGCGCAGTGGAGTTTAGAAAATAACAGATCATTATAAGCAATCTAATATTACCTCTGTCCTAAAAAAATAATTTACAACGAGTTTTCAAATGTATACTGTTTTTAGTACAAATGCGGACTATTTTTTTAGACGTAACAAATACAACAAGAATGTGCCTCTACAGATCAATCACTCCAGGTCAATCATGACGAATCGAGGTTCTTAAGTTAATGTTACAGAAAATAAGGCCAAAATTTTGTTCAGCTTTGAGGGTGAGGATCTCACGGCACCGACAGCCTTGATTTTCAGCTTGGAAAGAATACTTTAAAGAAAGGGTTAAACTGGTAAGAGTACCGACAGCATTCGAGGGTCTATGTACCAAGTGGAATACTCGTACCCGAGTCCTGATAATAATATAGGTCCAAAACGTTATGTAACATTAGAGACGACCATAATAACCTTGATCACGAGTTCAATCTACAGATGTGAATTTGTCATTTTCAATCCAATCTGTATGGGTTTCATGGATGTTGGAAAATTTGTTGATGCATGCAATATTTTATTATTACTGATGATCGATGCACTAATGATTTCCACTAACTACTACTAAAATTAATTGACGACCACGTTTTGTCTGTATTATTAGATCATTGCATCCAGTAAAAGGACTGAATTTTTCTACTTTGCTTATTTTACTGTTTTTTTTTATATATATAAAAAAAAAGCTTTTATTCCTTGCGAGGGGGACCCTTGGTCTTCTTTAGTTTAATATACAAATCCGAATTGAACACCTCCTTCGTCTCAATTCATTCGTGTAGCTCAAGAAATCAGTTGATTTTTCAATGTCCCCCAAATTGGACGAAATTGCACAATGCACATGATTCCTTTTGACTTAGAAGAATAAAAAATAAACCAAGCTTGAGCATAAAGATTTTATTATACACTCTCTCCATCCCATTCTTCCCGGAAACAGAAACTATTCTCTCCGTCTTAAAATTATTGTCTAATTTGAATTTTTACTTTTAGTACAAGTGTAGTTCAACTTCAATACACATTAATCTTAGTTTATAACGAAACAAAGTAACTACAATCAATTTGGGAGTTTATCCTTGATATTTTGACCCAAAAATTCTTGAAAAGTTCCACTTTCACAATTAATCTTACCAATAATAAAACCAAAAAAAAAAAAAATTCACGTAAATAGCTTAATAAAACTGTTAATTAATTAATTAATCATCTACAAGCCTAAATAAAAGTAAGTACATATATTTCCACTACACTCTACAAACTTATCATGTAGCAGAAGAAATATTCGTTCTTTTGTGGAACGAACGTAGCCATCATCAAACTTGATGATTTGCCTAGGAGACAAATCATAAGCAGCAGAACTGAGGTAGACCTCATCTTTCCAAAATCAATAAAATAAGACCACAATGTTAACCAAAAACAACCACAAAAGACTAATCCACATCAACCTTTTGAATTTTGGACACATATTATAAGTTTTGTTTTCCTTTACTGGACAAAAAACATGAGGTAATCCTTAAGGCGCATGTACCATGAAATATTAGTACTTCAAAACGATACTATATAAGGGGCAACATCTTGCATTCCATTACTTCATAAAACAGAGAAATCAGAAATGGCTTCAAATGGAGCAAATTATCAAAAGCCCCATGCGGTATGCATACCAGCACCAGCTCAGGGACACATTACCCCAATGCTTCAACTTGCCAAAATCCTTCATCACAGAGGTTTCTACATAACTTTTGTTAACACTGAGTACAACCATAGAAGGTTGCTCAAATCCAGGGGGCCTAATTCCCTGGATGGTTTGCCTGATTTCAAGTTTGAGACCATTCCGGACGGCCTGCCTCCCTCTGATGCAGATTCCACTCAAGATATTATCGCCGTATGTGATGCCATCTCCAAGAACTTCATTGGCCCTTATTCTGCTCTTCTTTCTAAGCTCCAAAACTCTGCCCCGGATATCCCTCCAGTGTCTTGCTTAGTCTCTGATACTGTCATGACTTTCACTCACGAAGCTGCCGAACAGTTTGGCCTCCCAAACGTGCTTTTCTGGACGGCTAGTGCTTGCGGTTTGTTGGGTTTCAACCAATTTCGACCCCTCATTGAAAAGGGATACATTCCATTGAAAGGTACTACTAGCTAGCTAGATCTGCTTGTTTAATTACTGAATTTCGTCTAATTTTCTACCTGTTTGTTACATTGTATATATGTTTGATTTGCAGATATGAGTCAGGTAACAAATGGATACCTGGAAACAACACTTGATTGGATTCCAGGCATGAGACAAGATATAAGATTGAGGGATATTCCAAGCTTCATCAGAACCACATCAGCTGATGATTTTATGCTCAATTTCCTCGCTAATGAAGTCGAAGAAATTTCTAAAGGGACGATTCTGCTATTGAACACTTTTGAGGAGTTGGAGCATGATTCCCTGAATGCAGTATCCGGCATATATCCACCTGTTTACGCCATCGGACCAGTATCCTTACTACTCGATCAGATCGAAGATGAGAAACTCCAATCCATCAGTTCAAGTCTCTGGAAAGAAGACACTGGAGTGGTCGATTGGCTCAACACCAAAGAACCCAACTCGGTGGTTTATGTCAACTTCGGAAGTATCACTGTGATGACTGCTAATCAACTCACTGAATTTGCTTGGGGACTTGCCAACAGCAAGAAACCATTTTTATGGATCATTAGGCCTGATATATTGGGCGGCGATTCTGCTGTTCTGCCACCGGAATTCATGACGGAAATCGAAGAAAGAAGCATGATTGCGAGCTGGTGCCCGCAACAGCAGGTCCTGAGACACCCTGCAATTGGAGGGTTCTTAACGCACAGCGGATGGAACTCTACTTTGGAAAGCATCTCCGGCGGGGTTCCGGTGATTTGCTGGCCGTTCTTCGGTGAGCAGCAGACAAATTGCAGATACAGCTGCGTAGAATGGGGAATTGGAATGGAAATCGACAATGATGTGAAGAGGAATGAAGTTGAGGCACAAGTAAGAGAGCTGATGGAAGGTGAGAAGGGACAGAAGATGAGGAAGAAAGCTCAAGAGTGGAAGATCAAAGTAGAAGCATCCATAACAGGGCCTCATGGATCTTCTTACAATAATTTGGAGAAGCTTTTCAAAGAGATTCTTCCATCATCATAAATTGACTTTTGTCCATCGAACACTTGTACTTCATATCCTTTTGATGTTTGTATCATCTGAATTTTATTTACTAATTTTAGTTTATTATCATCAGTATTTTTTTCAAATTTTTGTAGATTTGCAACCTTTTTTATTTACTAAATAATTCTGTTTTCATTGTGCTACGCGCGACCAGTTCTTATTTTGAGCTGAAAAGGACCATCACCTATTTAATTTCTTCCCTAATAAGCTTGATATGTCTGATGCACTCAAAAGTTTGATTTGTGATATTTCTGTGTAAATTTCTACCTTTTTTAACACATAAACACAATCATATAGTTTTATCTACAACAATACAATTAAATATTTAAATGAGAAAAATACCATTTTTCAATTTACATAGCAAAATGAAGACTTGTAATAAATATATTCCTAAGCAAACAAAATCATGCATTCAAATGGAAATAGAAGGATTGCTAAAAGACTTGGAGTGCATTATTACTAAAATTCAAGGAAAAAAAAAATCTCCTTAGAAACATTATTTCTGCAATTGAGACTGTAACTATAACAAAAATATCCATAGTGAGAAGTACCCATTAATAAGCACATCTAAAAGAACATATGAATGTGTTTTCCGACGTGAATTGTGAGCTCAATTTTTCTTGGAAAACGATTTCTTTCTTTCTTTTCTGTTTCGCTCTCTGTGAATCAAAGTGGACGTGACTAATACTATTATGTGACTCCATATGTACAAGATCATGGCGGTTATTTTTATAACTAACATTCCCGCCTCTGTTTTATTTTAGTTTTTATTTTCTTTTTTTTTTATTTTTATTTTGTTTTCAATAAACATTTTCTGTTTTATCAGTCATACTCATTTGCGATACCCTTCCAAATTTGATCTCAAGATTATTGGTTAATTACTTAATCACATTAACTAATTAAAAATTTACAATAATATTGTTTTATTTTGATAATTATACAATAAAGACGATAAATAAATAGAACATGTTACCAAAGAGAGAAATTTTGATAGTGTGTCATACTCTCATGCTACGTTTTCCTGTTTTAAAGAACAAACGCCCTTGATGGCAAAAAGTTAAAAGTAAAAAAGATTAAAACTGCACGGGTTAAAATTACGTAATAAATTAAAGTAGAATATTGTTATCGTATTCAAATTAATTACCCTAATGTCATTCCTTTAATCAATCAAACTATTACATTTGACCTCATTCCTTTAAAAGAAACTACTTCGTTTATTAAAAATTTAACAACAATATATTTTTTTATTTTCATGACCATATAAAGATGCTAAATAAGTCGAACATGTTGCCAAAGAGAAAAATTTTGATGGTGTGCCACGTTCTCATGCTATGTCTTCCTGTTCTTCCTGTTTAATAGAAACGATCTCGTTGATAGTTAAAAAAAAAAAAAAATGAAACTACGCACTAAAATTACGGAATAAATCAAAGTACGTAGAATATTTTTATTGGATCCAAATTTAATTAGGTTAATGTCATCCTTTAAATCAATCAAACGAAAATTTGCGGGGAAGGAAGGAATGGGGAGTGGCCGAAAAAATTGACATTGAAAATGGACAAAAAATGACATTTTAATTGGTATCATCGGGTAGTAAAAAGAAAAACAAGTCCCTTACAATTAGCAAAAAAAATGACATTTTAATTGGTAAAAAAAGAAAAACAATTGGCAGTAAAAATAGGCACAAAAAATGACATTTCAGTTGGTAACAGCGGGTAGTAAATGTCGTCTTTTAGCACGCCACATTAATTAGGTTATTTCTCTCGGCTAATAATATATTTGGTTGGCAAAAAAAGAAAAACAGCTTTATTAATTGACCATTGTAGTCTTGCGTTAAATTGATGGTGTCATGTTAATATATTAACCAATCAAATGACTCAATTCAAAACTGAATATGTCATGTGAACTAATGGGCCAATCAAAATACTTAATTTAATTTCTGACCAATCACGTTCAAGATTCTAAACTCAATAAGAGACATTTACCTATGTAAAGATTATTTATGAATTTGATCAACTTTTTTTCGAATAAGGTATTTGATTTTAAGAAGTAAGGAAATCATATGAATATTCATTTATTTGATTGACATGGGATATGGGAGAATACTATTTGTCCCATCGGGACATCCGATAAAATTGGAACGATATAGAGAAGATTAGCATGGCCCCTGCGCAAGGATGACACACAAATCGAAAAATGGAGAATATTATTTGTCAAGACCGTCCTGACAGAGTCTTGTGAGGACTTCCAATGATCCCATACCATGTAATCTTTCTCTAAATATTAGTAATTCTCAGTTAATTTACTATCTCTTATTTTTTTAAATCAATTTTTTCATACATACATATATGTTTAAAATAACTTAAATTTAAAAACTCAAACTAAACAATAATTTCGAAACAAAGTGAGTACGATATAATCCAACATGGTATCGACAGAAAAAATCGAATTTTTTGCTTTCTAGTGCATTTTTCAATTGTATTTCAGAACAAAAGGATGAACAGTTATCACAAACGTTTAAGTAAATGCCCACGAACATCTAGGAAGTTATTATAATGCCTACAAAGTTATGAGGCAAGGTCGGTTGATAAATGTGGTGTCGTCTATGACTTTTATGCCGTGAACAAGAGGGAAATGTCCACAGCTTAGTTTCTGATTGTGAGTTGACGATTGGTTACAAAAGAATTAATTGCTACTCGACCCCCAAAAACAAGAAAAACAAAAGGAAAAAACAAAAAGGGAAAGGCACATGGTTAAAAGCATTTTTTTCTAATTTGTCCAAAAAGAAACAATACTGCACGTATCAATTGCGAGCGACGGGCCCAGCTCTATTGTGTTTCAACTATAAATCGACGCTTATGGAAAATTATTTCTCATCATGTCTCAAATTATGTTCTGATGTGGATTTTCATTTCTTAAATGTAAATTGTACTAAAAATAAAATTTGAATACAACAATTATTTTACCACAGGAGTAATACCTCCCGGCCTCTTCCAAGTTCCAATCGCCACCAAAGGAAGCTAAAAAAAGCCTTGTATTTTGAGTAGCTGTTAGCTCAGAGTTGTTAGCGTACAATACATTTCGAAAATTTGTGTCATTGTGTTGAATTTGCTTCGTTGATCGATCATGTAGAGAACATTTTCTTTTGGTAAATATAAGGGTTTTTTTTTTTTTTTTTGATTTTTTCATAGCAAAATAGCAAAACTTAATACATCAAACTGACTCGTTCGTAATGCATATTTCAAAAAAAAAAAAACACACAAAAGTCGTTCATAAAGTATATACAAAAACAACTTTTTTTATAAAAAAAAATGAAAATATATATTTACTAAAGCAATTCAAAAGATTTTACTAAAACCCAAGGGGGGGATCTACAATTAGTGCAAAATGGCAATGATTTGTGTTGTTACCATAACATATTTTCGCTAACATAGCAACGGTTTCTGGTATTATACTCTGATATGTTTTGATTTAAATTTTTCTTTTAGTATAATTTGCTAGGATTCAACTCCCACGCCTCCGCCGCCGGCCAGATCAGAATGTGTAATGGGGAAGGACATCTTTGAGCAGCTTCACCAAATTCCGGCGAGAAGATCCATTCGGTGCTTTCACAGCTGCTTCTGCTTTGCTCTTCCATTCCAGAGCTTTCTCCCTCATCTTCTGTCCCTTTTCACCGTCCATCAGCTCTCTTACTAGTACCTCAACTTCATCCCTCTTCACATCATTGTCAATCTCCATTCCCATTTCCCATTCTACGCAGCTGTATCTACAATTTGTCTGTTGCTCCGCGAAGAACGGCCAGCAGATCACCGGAACCCCACCACAGATGCTTTCAAGAGTGGAATTCCATCCGCTGTGTGTTAAGAACCCTCCAATGGCAGGGTGATTCAGGACTTGTTCTTGTTGGCACCAGCTTGCCAGCATGCTTCTTTCTTTTGTTTCCTCCAAGAATTCCGGTGGAACCATTGCGGTGTCTCCGGCGACAATATCCGGCCTAATGATCCATAAAAATGGTTTCTTGCTGTTGGCAAGTCCCCAGGCAAATTCAGTGAGTTGCTGGGCAGTCATCACAGTGATACTGCCGAAGTTCACATACACTACCGAGTTGGGTTCTCTGGTGTTAAGCCAATCAATACATTCTGGTTCCTCTTTCCAGAGATTTGACTTGATTGAATTGAGTTTCTGGTCTTGAATTTGATTCAGTATTAAGGGCAGGGGACCGATGCTGTACACAAGTGGATACATGGCGGAAAGAGCATCCAGAGAACTCTGCTCCAATGCCTCAAAGGTGTTCAAAACCAGAGCCCTGGCTTTGGGGATTCTGCTAACTTCTTGCACCAGGAAATTAAGCATAATATCATCTGGTGATGTGGTTCTGATGAAACTTGGAAGATCTCTCAATCTTATATCTGGTTTCATTCCAGGAATCCATTCAATTTTAGTTTCCAGATATCCATCTGTCACCTGACTCACATCTGCATATCAAAGAAAAAAGACAATTACTTTATCATGACACCAAAATGAAAGCACAAAAATAAATGAAACAGAGAAGCTTCAGAGTACTCACCTTTTAGAGGTGTGTATCCCTTTTCAATTAAGGAGCTATACTGGGTATAACCCAACAATCCACAAGCACTGGTCGTCCACAAAAGGACTTCTGGAAGGCCAAACTGTTCAGCAGCTTCGAGAGTGAAGGCCATGACACCATCAGAAACTATGCAAGAGACTGGAGGGATGTCTGGAACAGAGTTTTGAAGCTTAGAAAGGAGAGCAGAAAAAGGGACTATGCAAGTCTTGGTTGTGGATTCACAAAGAGATGGTACATCCTGAGTGGAATCTGCATCAGAGGGAGGAAGACCGTCTGGGATGCTCTCGAACTTGAAATCAGGCAAGCCATCCAGAGAATTAGGCCCCCTGGATTTGAGCAACCTTCTGTGGTTGTACTCAGTGTTAACAAAAGTGATGTAAAAACCTCTGTGATGAAGGATTTTGGCAAGTTGAAGCATAGGGGTAATGTGTCCCTGAGCTGCCCCTGGTATGCATACAGCATGGGGCTTTTGATCACTTGCTCCATTTGAAGCCATTTTCTCTGAGATTTTTTGGCAATCTAGTTTCTTCACTCCTATTTCTTTGAGGAAAACTGTTTTATATGACAACTTGGGATGCAGGTTATGGACCCTTTTATAGTAGATGTTACAGAATTCAACGAGTTGCTATTACCACATAATTAATTTAACACTTCTTCATTTGGCTTTTTTTTTTTCTTGTACTTAAAATTTTCTGATCCTTTTTTCTCTTCCGGAAT